CTTTTCTCCTCCTCCTTTTCTCCTCTCCCTTCTCTCCTCTTTCTCTCTCCTCTTTCTCTCTCCTCCTCCGCCTCTCCTCCGCCTCCTCCTATTCCTCCTCCTCATCAAAAGCCTCTCCTCTGCCTCCTCTTCTTCCTCTTCCTCGTCTTCTACCTCCCCTCTACCTCCTACTCCTTCTCCCTCCTCTCCTCCCTCCCTCCTCTCCTCATTCTTTTCTCCCTCCACCTCCTCCACCTCCTCTCTTTCCTCCTCCGCCTCCTCTTTGCGGGCTGTTCTGTTCACCCTGGCTAAGGTTTTTACCTACACAGGCCCAAGCCCGGGTAGGAGCTTTTTCCTTGGCCGTTACCCAAATGGGAGGGCTCCCTTTCTGTACGCCCTTTCTATACACCTTCATACTGCAATTCGAATTGGTTCATTAAAACAAACTCAATCCACTTATACCGTAGACATAGATACCAGTAAAGGTGAGTCCCTCACACTTACGACCCACCAAATTCGACACGGCATATCATTCGCTTAGACTGACCTTGGGGAGCGCTTGTTGCCCCCATCTTCCTCTCCCCATCCCCCACATCCCAAACCAAACATATCCACCCAGCCTAAACCCCCTTCCCCTTCCCCAACTGCACCACCGCCTTCACAAACTCCCTCTTCTCAAACCTGCGATACGCCTCCGGCACATCCTCCAAACCATCCAACACCTCATCGACGACAAAACTCGGCTTAACCTTCCCACTCTCCACCAAATCCCTCAAAAACGGCTGCAAGCTATGAATCTCCGCCCCACCACCCTTCAAACTCAGCGCCTTCACCCACAACTCGCCCACCAGCACCGGAAACACCCCCTCGGCGGCATTCGCCAACGGCACCCCGGGCGCCGGCCCCTTCGGCGCAGGCACATACTCCCCGATAAACCCGATCCCGCCCGTCGGCTCGGTGACCCGGACGCAGTTGTTCAGGACGACGCTCTCCTCGGCCTCGAGGCCGACGCAGTCGCAGCTGCGGCGCACGCCGCGGGGCTCTCGCGCCAGGATCTGCGTGACGGGGGTCGATGGCGTCGGTGAAGTCGATGGGGATTGCCCCGATGGAGGCTGCTTTGGAGAGTCGGGCGGGCACGTAGTCGATTGAGTAGACGCGGCTGGCGCCGCGGAAGAGTGCCGCGTAGGCGCATAGGAGGCCTACGGGGCCCGCGCCGAAGATGGCCACCGTGTCGCCGGATTGGAAGCCCGCGCAGTCCAGCGCGTACCATGCTGTTGGGAATATGTCCGTTAGGAGGGTGATGGGTGTCTTTTGGCGGAGGGGCGGTTGGGTTCGGTATTCATTTTCCTCTCTTGGTGATATTGCGTCGATACCTTGGAGCATGAATTCTATCTGGAAGTGAATGCTGAGATCCAGATTATCGTCAGTCACGGTGTTGGTCATGTAGGATAGGATACCACTGGGAGACCAGGTGGGAAGTTCTCCTTTTGCCGTGGTGGTCCTCCATCGCACGGGACTTGTCCTTTGGTGAATAGTCGAATTGCCCCCCTTGGTGCCAATAATGCAGCTTTGTAGCATGTTATCACTTTTGTATATCCATTATGGAACTGTATGTGTTTCCGTCCACGGGTTGTTGGTTAGCTGGGCTGGCGAGATTCGGCATCTCTGCGCAAACTGATGAGTTAAAAGGTCGGGATCTCGCGAGATCGTGTGTTGCAATATTGTCAGGGTCATGGAAGAAATTTCATGCTTTGCGAGCCCCTCCTTGGTCTGATTGATGGCTTAGAAGCGGCACGCGTCGTATTTATTGATGGGAAGCAGCATCTTGACATTGGTCAGTATGTTGAAATGGGACTAAAATCCGGACGGGCAGTCAAATTCTGTAACACATACCAGGTAGGTAGCACTGGTAATGTTGGTAAATGTGGCAGGTGCGTTTTCTAGCATCCGCTTAGCATTTTAAAACCTCGTCCAGATACTAAGTATTATCTAGTATTCTACCCACAGTCACTTCCTAGACGCTCATCATAAAATCAAAATTAGACATTAGCGTAACTGTTCACAGAAGATTCGTACAGCTCCAGCTTTTAAATCCAAAACCCTCTCAGTCAATCATAATCATAAACACATACGAGGCCACCAAGCCCCAACCCCATCTCGCAAGGTAGGTAGGTATCCTAAACTCACCCCTCAAAAGCCAACCACCCATCTACTTCTCCCCAATCGCAGACGAAATGCCCTCTCCCGCCGCAGCCCTCAACTCATCCTCACCCATATCGCCCTCCCACCCCCTCGAGACAAGATACCTGCGGAACTCCTCATCCCTAACCCTGAGATCCTCGCCCGAAATATCCGGCACAAAGAAATACGTGACCGCAATGCCCACGACCCCACAGATCGCGGCAATAATAAACGTCCAGTTCTTGCCCAGATTGTCCTCGATGGGGGTGAACGCCTGCGTGCCGATCGCGGCCCCGGCCTTCCCCACCGCCGCAGAAAGCCCGTAGCAGGTGCCTCGCACGCCGGTCGCGTACAGCTCCGACGACAGCAGACCCAGCATGTTCCCGGGGCCGAAGTTGCCGGAGCTCTGCATCAGGCCGTAGAAGACCACGAACAGGGGGATGATCTTGGTGATGCGCTCGTAGGCGCAGCCGATGATCAGCCCGAAGATCAGGTAGCCGCTGAAGCCAATCATCATGACGTTCTTCCGGCCGAGCTTGTTGCACAGGAGCGCGCCCAGGAACACGCCCGGTAGGGAGATCGCCCCGAGAAGTAGTTGCCATTCGCCGGTTTTGAGGATCGAGCTGTCTTTGACGACGGAGTCGATGATCGTTCCGGAGAAGACGCCGTTGGGGAAGGTGACAAAGTCTGGAGAGGGCGGGCGGGGGATGGGTTAGGGCTGGGGTTTGCAGGGGGGAGGGGAGGGGAAGGGAGAGGGGGGAGGGGCGTACCGTATAGGAACCAGGCACCGCAGGTCCCGATGAGAGACTTCCAGTAGTAGCGGATGACTAGACCGTATGGGACCTGCTTTTTCATGGCACCTCGGCGGTAGAGGGCCGAGTTCAGCATGCGCCACCGGAAGTAGAACACGGATAGCGGCCAGATGCAGCCGATACCGAAGCACACGCGCCATACGGTGCTGTAGTGGGCTTGTCCACAGGCGGAGAATACGATCAAGAAGACCAGTACGGCGAACGGACCACCGAATGACAGAGGGAAGTTGGTCACCATGATGAAGGCGGGACCACGCTTCTTCAGGGCCAAGTCGTTGGCTGTTTCGGACGCAGATACCGACGACGCGGGATATTCACCACCGGTTCCTGGGGATGGTTAGTACTTGTACATATTGTGGGCGGGGGAGTCGCTCGTACCGAAACCGATGATTCCTCGAGACACCGTCAGCATCCAGAACATGCCGCTGATGGTGGCGCCGTGCGCGGCGGTGGCCAGAATGCCTCCGAAGACGATCATCAATGTGGTGAAGACCATGGCGGCTTTACGGCCCATGTAGTCGCAGGTAAGACTGGAAGGCAGAGGGCTCATCAGTTAAATTATCGTGAAGAATGAAGGACAGTGGTTGTGTGCGTACCCGACCACGATCTGACCGATCACCTCTCCCACAAGCAGGGCGTTGGATACGCGGGTGGAAACGATCGAGGTGTACTGCTTAGGGTATTCCTTCTTGAGGAGAACATTGGCCATTGTCCTGAGCAGCGTTAGCGCGGTCGATTCGATTTGATGGCATCGGCAAAGGGAAAGTACATGAGGTTGTTCTGGTATCCATCGCTAATGAGGGCGAATCCACTAGCGAGCTAAGACAGTCCAGTCAGAAAGGATCGAATACAGATCTGCTAACAGTAAAATCCGGCAGGGGGCAACTCACAATCGTCAAGTAATCCGACAGACTCTGCCGTTTCTGTGCGACTTCAGCCGAAGGATCGGACTCGAACGTGTCCACGGCCTGCACCTGCAGGCCATCATCCTTGGCCTGGGGATCGCGAAGTGTCTTCTCCGCAGACATCTTGACGAGCAAAAAAGGACAAGAATGCGTGAAACAGAATCCAAAAAAAAAAGCCAGCCTGGCAAAACTCAACTCACAGGAGCACGAGGGAAGGCTTTAATAGGACTTGTGACACGCATGGTTACATGGCCCTACAAGCAGCCCGGCCAATCCGCGTCTCTCGGAGATGACTTGATAAGATTCCCTCGCGCCTTATCATTCACGGCTGTGATTGGCGGATACTGTAAAGCTTGGCGCCTGAGGGCCAATCAGCGGCGACCTCTTCTCCACGTGCATGGACCCGTGGATTCCGTCCGCCGGGCTTGGACAGCCCTACCAGCAAGAGAGCCTGCACGTTGCTATCAAGCATTCAGTGACTGGTGCGTTTCTGACAGGGGTGCGAGTAATGCGTTGGGCTTTTGGGTTTGCACATATCTATGGGCTGATAGCGTGATTGAGACGGTTCGGAACGTGCCCTCCTCATCACATAAGGCTTGTCTGACTCGCGGGCATATCTCTGTGTTCGTTGGAGGCAGCAGGGGAATGTGAGCGAAGAGAAAAGAACGCTGTGTGACTGCTGTGTGGCGATGTGGACGGGCGACTGGCGAGTTTTGAGGCGACTGTCTAGTCAGTCCTTGAATCCCACTATCATTCTTAACTGGTGATTACTCCGTCGTACCAGGTTATCGATACAGATTAATATACTGTGGATGAAGTAAATATACTAGTTAAAACTGATTAGAGCCAACCAACTGCAGCCCTGGTACGGAGTATTAATTATATGACTGGGCTTCACGTCCGACCGCTACAGCCACACCTCTTCGCCCACCGCCTTCTACAAAGGGCAAGATGACACCTGAAAGTTACGGTCAGTAAGAAAATATCATAGAATTGAGATATTCTATCTGCCTGTCAGCCTGCGCGCGATAGTATTAGTAATAGATCAAAACGACCACTCAGCTAAAAAGGTGTTCAGACACCTAAGTAGTTGTGATACTGAATGATACTGGATTTGACAATTAGCCTGGCTGGCCGCGCATAGAACTACCTTCCTAACTGGGCCTAGTCTATGTATCAAAACGGTATCGTATCATTCTGCCGGCGGGCTATCGCCAGACAGGAAGGCGGAAGATGTGGCATGATTATCCTCTCTCTTTCCTCTTTCCTCTCCACCTCTCCACCTCTCTACCACCCCACCACCAACTATCTTGATTCCTGCCCCTACCACTGGGACCCATGTTCGAGGGAGATGGCCTCCTTCCCCGACCAGACCTTTGGACTGCGTGTCTTCCGCGACCAGGGACCCACTGCGTCCGGCGGATGGAGGTTGTCAGGCCACTACGAGGGATACACGGGGTCTACAAAGCGCGGGATGGAATGAAGGAAGCGTAACCGAAATATATAACAATCTATCTGGTATATACCGACCTGACCCACAACAACCACTCCCCCCTCAATCTTGCACAGGGCGTAAGCCCTCGATAGGATGTATCTTACGCGCCACTTCTATCCCATGGGCCCTCACGACCCACCGCAAGGCCCGCCGAATGGTCACCACGATCTCCCACTGCACCTGGATGTCGAGGCGATAGATCGTCACACCCCTCGTACGGGAACAGTTGAGGTAGCTGAGGTTGATCTCCGACAGGTCACATGTGAACTCGGCTATCCAGCCCGCGCCTATATGATCGAGGAGCGCGGTCAGCGGCATCTGGGGGGAGGAGGGGCCTCCGCGAGGCGCTGGAGAGATCGACTATCAACTCACCTGGCTCGTCGGTCCATCTGAGGACCCCCAGTCTCACTACATCCCTTTCATCGAAGCGCATTTCGGCGACGAAGCTCCCTCTCTGCCCGCTAACGTACCTCCTCCCCGGGGTGATGACGGGATGGCGGGACGAGGCGTACGCCTGGTCGTTGTCCGCCCCTCGTGTGGGGACAGCCAGGGCGTAGTGGTGCAGGCTATCGTACACCTGAGGGGTGATGCCTGCCACACCCCGGAGCGTTGCCCCGCGCCCGACCGCTAGGATTCTGGGACAAAGCAGATAAGCAGAAAAGTCGGAAGTGAGTGTGAGAGTAGAATAAGGGAGGACCTACGGGTCTTTTCCCACAATCGTCTCAATCTCGTGGTCGAGCTGCTGGATGTGCTGGGTGATTCTGTCTCGAATATAGCAACTCCGGCTGAGGCCGCCCACAAGGACCAGAATGCATATTGGCGGCAGCTTCCGCTCGCCAACCTGTATAAGCTGGGCCGTGATAGACTGCACAATGATCTCGACAATGCGATTAATGGCGTTGCCCACAACTCAGCCCGGGAGAAGAGACTGGGCGCGTGCCTGATTCCTTGTGTTGTAGACGCCCCCTGGCACCGCCAGACAGATGGGCATCTCGGGATCAATGAACTGCTTCTTAGCGCGTATAACTGTATCAACTCGGGGAATAGGCATTCTAATATTTTTGACAAGATAATCATAGAGATTGAGGTCTATTGCGATGCCGCCGCCCATGATCCCTAGACGCCGGTTAGTCTTCTCCGGGGAGATCCGACCAGGATCTCTGCAAGGCCCAGGCACATACCGGTTACCATCGTGAGCTGGCGGACGGCCAGGGGGCCCACCCCCATCAACCAAGAAAGGTGCCGATGTCCTGGAAAGTTAGCACGAGTCAGCCGGTGGCTCTGCCCATCTCGGAGGGGGAGCTCACTATGGTAGCACCTCCGTTGTCAGATACCATCACTGTTTCGCCCACCTGCTATCCCAGATGTCAGCAAGCTGTGCGTCGCCGGTAATGCGAGTAAGAGCTCCAGAACTCACTTGGATACCGGGCTGGTGGGAGGCCACGAAGGCCATGGCCGCCTCCGCCTCCGACAGGAAGTGCACCGTATCGACCGGCCGTTCATAGAAGCCAGCGGCTTCTACTGCAGTGCGCATATTTATTTCGGCCTCAAAGCTCCAGTTAACCGGCAGCGTGAACCACCAGTCAAATGGAGGGAGGCACGGGAGATGCCATTGAACTCTCATCGCTTCCTCAAAGGTCTGTCGCAGCTGGCGGAGATAGTGTCCCACCACGATGGTGCAATTCGTGCCGGGGGGGAGATCCAAAGATCTGGCACCCACCATAGCCTTGATCCTACGCTGATCCGCCGGGTCAAAGGCGCGAAGGTCGTCAAGGAGGAGTTTGGTGAACCTGTGCGCCGGCATATCCGTCCCGATGTCGTGCCCCCAGGCTTGAGCACCGTTGTCCCCGTAGGCAATTGACGAGGGGATGGGGATGATGGAGGGGTGGCTCGGGTGATTCCAATCAATTATATCCTCTTCCCCCGGTGCTTTGTACGTTAGGACTGTGGACGAATGCCCGAGTTAGCTGCTGGGGGTAGATCTGAGCCCGGAGGTCAACTTTGACGTACCGGTTTTCGTCGCCCCAAAATCGATACCCACGGTCCAGCGGTCCATGTATTTCTGCATTTTGTTGAGGATGCTACACAGATGGGTGAATAAATGGAATAAATGGATGAATAGGGTGCACTGGGTTAGGGTGATATAGATAGGTTGGAGTGTAGAGAGGACGCAAGATACATCAGGTTGGATCCTCTCTCTCTTATATTACCTATGGCCTCCTCCTCCTCCTCCTCCTCCTCCTCCTCCTCCTCCTCCTCCTCTTCTCCTTTTCGTGGTGCATGCAGTACATGTATCGCATCGCAGTGACCCTGTCTCAGCCCGCGTGTCTCAATCCACGACGTCTGGATCCATGCCCTAAGTTGGGAACCTCTCCCGCCACCACCGACAAAGACCGCCATCCGAGACAAAGAAAAGTCAAATGCGCGAGCCAAAGGAAGGGCAGCAGGAAGGGTGAATGGTAACACCCCCCCCCTCTTTCTCCTCTTCTCCAGTTTTGCTCCCTTTCCTCTTTACTTCTCTTACTTCTCTTACTTCTCTTACTTCTCTTACTTCTCTTACTTCTCTTACTTCTCCACTTCTCTCTACTTCATTCTCTCTATACTTTTCTCTATATCTCGCCTACTGCTCAGTATATCCAATCCATCATGGTCAACACTCGCTCCCGCAAGGCCAAGAAGGACAAGAAGGACAAGAAGGGCCAGCAAGACCACCCGATGCCCCCAAAGGCTCCCGCCGACGCCGTCACGGCCAGACCCCCAGATCAAGAGGACCGCAAGCGCAAAGCCCCGCCCACCTCAGCGCAGAAAGAGGAGAGACGCCTGAGTCCGCGGATGTACTTCAGCCTGCACGAAGGCTACAAGGAAATGATGATGGACTTTGAAGAAATGTACCGAGGCTGCAACGGGTTTCGGAGCAGTCCTGGCCAGCTCAGGGACCATTTCAAGGTACTCAAGACTCTAGTATTTCACTGGGCCGGTCAGTTCGGGCGGGAGGACCTGACGGCCCTGTCGCCCGATCAGAAACGCGCGATTATTACCAGCCTGGACGGGCAGTGTGTCCAAGAGGACTGGGATCATCTTTATGCCCGCCTCCCCACTGGCGCCCAGTTGTTTACAGGACATGTTCTCGGCGAGTCGATGATCTTCAAGCACATCTTCGCCAGGCTGATCGACCGTCCGTTCTGGTCTCTGGACGCGAGGAGCGACGCGGCGGATCAGGGCGGAGATGCGGACTTCTACAAGCGTCTCGAGTATCTCTACGAGCGGTTCTACATCGGTGAGCGGTCATGTCTTCCTCCCCCCTTTCCCCTCTCCGTCCGTGTCGTGGAGGCGGTCGCTGACTCGAAATCTGCCCAGGGAGCCCCCGGGATGCGGCCTGGTGGAAGTCGCACACCGTCGCCCTCTGCAATCTCTCCCGGTACTCATGCATGAACCTCCGGGCCAACGAGCTGGGCAATGCCACCCACAAACACAACGCGGCACTGGTGGACGCCCTCACGGACGAGCTCCTGGGGCGCGAGGTCTTCCAGCTGGTGCTCGAGGGGGTGACGGACCCCGACGTGGAGAGGGCGCGCCGCAGCTCCCTAAGCCACATCATGCAGCTTGCAGCGAAAGCCAGCCTCATGGCCCTGGGCGGGATGAACGCAAACCTGCGGGTGGACCGGCTGCCGGAGCTTTCGACGTTCAATCCGGCGTCGGGTGCGGTCAAACCCCATGTGCACCATTTCAGCTTTACGCCGGACGCCCCCCTCACCGCGCCTGTCAAGGGGGGCCAGGTCCTCCTCCTCGTGTCACCGGGGCTCTGCATCACGGACACACCGGCGCGAGGTATGGGGCCCAGTGTCCCCGAGCAGGTCCTCCGGGCGGAGGTGTTTACCGAGCACCGGGAAACTGACTCCACGAGCGACCAGGAGTCCGACTCAGAGTACGAGGATAAGGATATGGCGCGTTCGGAAATAGAGCACGGGATTCTGGCGCGTGACGGGGAGTGGCAGGTCAAGTCAGGGAGTGTGCTGCTGTAGGGGGTTTGTCATGTCGACGGAGACGATGACCTTTGTTTGTTTGTTTGTTTGCTATATCTAAATTGCCAAATTTGCTATTTTCTCTCGCTCACGTTGTGGTTTCTCTGGTCCAGCTCTATTCATTCCCTCGTAGACAGTGAGTAGCCTGTAGCCTGTATGCATCATTCTTCACTGTCTTATTCGCGTCAAGTTCATTTTTTTTTTTTCAATTTAATGCAATTTAATGCAATTCAATTCAATCTAGGTTCTATTATTAGCCTCACTCAGCGTGCTATCCGTGCCAGCTGGGTTCCTACCTAGATATATGGGCGCTTTCCTTCGGTGAAGCAGGAACCTATCTGATACAAAGTACCTAAGTAAATCCCTTAAATGTCGCGTAAATCGTGCAGGTGAGTCAAAGTTCAACGCCACAACTTGGTAAGAAGGAAAGGAGAGAAAGAGAAAGAGAGAAAAAGAAAAGAGAAAAAAAAGAAAGAAAAACACATAGCCCTGGTTGCGAGTTATTCCATCCTCGCGCTTGAGCAACACTACTCCCCCTCATCTACTGACCCCCTTCTCCATTCTAATCCCAACCACTTACCTAGATGATTCACCGGCCGATTGACTCAGATAATCCGCCTCGTTTAAACGTCAACACTGTCTACTCACAGTGCTCAGGGAGCGGATGGTGTTATCACCCTGCATCCTGCATGGATGGAGGAGAGAATCGGGCGGGGTCTGTCCGTCGAACAGGTAAGTATTGGAGTGCTGGTGCGACATTGCCTGATTGTATACTATTTGCGCCATCCCTCTCCATCTCTCTCCTTTCTGACTGACTGCCTCGGATTCTGGAACCCTCTGTAGCGAACCGTAGACTTTGGACTTTGGCGTGGTGGCTGGCTTGGCTGGCAGGGACAGTCACTCACCGAATTCCAGTCGCGACAGAAGAAGAAGAGTCGGGGAGGCGGGCGAGAATGATCCAGACTCCCGGTCAGCTCATGATCCATTTTCCACTCTTTGCGTTGGGTGGATGGCCTGTCCTGCCAAACCTAAAACTGTGGGTTCTGTGTGACCCTGCGTCTGGCCGACCCAGCCAGGCCAATCGGTCCCGGCATCGTGGTTCGTGGGGTGAAGAAGCCACCAGCGCGCCGCTGTAGCGCGTGTTTCGAACCGAACCGAACCCCCGTGAGGAAATCCCAATCGTCGCCCCAATTGACTCCACTTCTTGGGAACATGTTCTGTCGTTGGTTCTATTCTATCTAGAATGATTGCCCCTGTCGCCCCGGGACAAGAACCCCGGATCAAGGCGTGTCGATACCCCTGGTCCGGATATATCCCCCCCCCCCCCCCATCCGGTCAGCTCTGAGAGCCGCGCCAGGCAGGGGGCAGGGGGCAGGGACCGGACCGAGCCGCTGCGGTCGCGGATTGCCGGGTTGGGGGAGGGGGCCGGCCCACCGGTGCCAGTCAGTGCATGGTAGGGATCATCCAGGGATTATGATAGGTTTATTATACCATGGACCCTGATGTTGATTGTACGCAGGCACGCAGGTTTCATTTGCTATGTGCAGGCAGATATATGTACATTAGCCTGATCATGCATCCAGGCCGGTGCAAGCCCTAAAATGTACCCTAGCCCTCTAACATACTACCCTTTTTTTTTATATATAGCACATGATCGTATTTTGCCCTTTTGGGTCGGTGGGGGCGTCGTTGGAACAGGGGGGTGTCGGTAGATCAGGCAGGACCTATTGATTCCTTAAAAATTCTGACTATCCAGCATTCACACTTTGGGAAGAGTTTTTAGCATGTTATTTTTTCGTTCTTCCATGCTGGTTGGTCTATCAACCCAGTAACCAGTTACGACATTAGAATCTTCGAACCTCGATGCTATCTACGTCTAACAGTACAACTCATCCTGACAACTCAGAAAATCAGTAAAACCTCCCCCCCCGCCTCCCCTCTCCCTCAACGACCATGAAGCAAGTCGCCCCGTTCGGCAATCGTCTGCTGACACTTTGCCAAAATAGCCGCCTGGCGACTCACCTCGGCCAAGCTCCCCACGACCTTCTTATTGCCGCCGACAAACCCATACAACGCATACGGAATGCCGACATCCCTGCAAAACTCCAGCACCAGCTTCTGCGTGCGCCGCAGATTATGTCTCGGGACGCGGGGATACAAATGATGGATAGCCTGGAACTGCAAGCCCCCGTGGATGAAATCCAACCACTCGGGACAATCGACATCCATGGTGGTGCGCAGCATGCGCTGCGCGAACGACTCATGCGGGCCCAGATCCATCGTCGACATGGCGAAATGCGACACGGTGAATTGCACATGGAGCGGCATGGTGACCATGTGGCTGATCATCACGAAGAGAAATCGGCTCCACGCGCTGGGAATGGACCGGTAGACGAGCCCGTATCCGAACCAAATCCAAAATATCACATTGCCGACGATTTCGAACCACCGGTGCCACCACGCGATGCCCTTTCGGGGGCCCTGTCCCTGGATCAGGAAGATCCAGGACTGGACGTAGAGGTTGAATCGGCCCAGGGCGAGGATCGGGTAGTAGAGGTAGGCTTGGTAGGGGACGAGGAACTTGGCGATCTTGTCGTAGGGCAGGAGGCGCTCGTGGTAGGTCGAGATGATGTTCCCCATGAAGCGGTGGTTCACGGCGAAGAATGGCAGGTGTTGGTTATCCGGGTCGTGCTCGGGGGCGTTGGTCACGATGTGGTGCACGTTGTGGGTGCGTTTCCACCACCCGAGCGAAAGGCCCCCGATTGGCGCCGCGATGGTCATCCCGATGAGGTTGTCGATCGTGAAGTTGTGCGTGATGGCCATATGGCCTGCGTCGTGGGCGGAGAATACCAACTGCGACCAGAAGAAGCCCAGGAAGACTGCGCTGGTGCAATACCATTCAATGTGCAGGAAGAATAGCATGACCCCGAAGATCAGGGCGCAGCGTCCGAATTCCCGCGCGTATGCCATGTAGTTGCAGTCATACAGCCCTTCGGCTTGGATTTGGTCATAGAGGCGTCGGTATTTCTCGATAATCTCGCCCTGCGTGGCTTCGTCCAGGGGTGGGTAGCGCGTTAGGGTCAGGCTGATTTCTTTTTTTGTCTCGCTGTCCAGGAAGGCCTGTTCCTCTTTGGTGTTCAGCTCGGTAACTGCGGGCGATATGGGGTCGAGGCGACCGTCATCTTGCTCAATGCCGGAGTGATTGGTACTGTGCAATTTTTCGTCCGAATAGATATGTTGTTGTTGTTGTTGTTCATCTGTCTCTTTCTCTTTCTCTTCCACAGAAGCTCGAAACCGACCACCCTGAATGGGCGGTACAAAATTCCGCCACCGGCCCTCAATTCTACCGATTTGGTACCGGAACATCTGCTTTCGAATCTCCTCCGAATGGAAGCTATTCGACGTGTTAGCCTGAATCTATCCATGCATCCCATCAGCCCGAAATGGACGCCTACACCATGACCTCATCCGAGGCATCTTTCCCGATCAGATGCTGGATCGGTTTATGACCGCCGGGATGGTACGGAATGAACGCGTCGATGCGAAGCACTCTCCGGTCGATGATGACGATCGACTGTCCTGCAGCGATCAAGCCCTCGATGTGCCGGGGCGAGAGCACCCGGTCTTTCGGGGAAACATTGTCGCCCTCAGACCTACCCATGGTTGAGGTTGTGTGTGGTTCGGATTGAGTTGGTGCCAGATTACAATTCCGATGAGCCTGGAAGCCTGGAGCGAGCGAGAGATCGGGGGGGAACCGCGGCGATGGGCCCACGGCACGGCCCCCGAGGGCGGGTTTCCGGGTGACGCGTGGCGTGTTTTGTTTCTACCTAGTGGTAATATCGGGTTGCCGCTTGTTTTTTTACCACGTCATACCAAATCGGGGGTTTACTTGAAAGAATGGGTAAAGGTGGAATTGAAATGTCATAGACTATTGAAGAATAGTAAAAAACAAGAGATATGGCACATCAAGGTTGGCGTCCACAATCCAGAGGCAAGCGCTAGAACGGCAGTCTATTTTTAGCGCTGGACATTAGATAATCGGTCTAGGCTGCAGTCTTGGATTCAAGTGAATAGATGTGGTGATTTAACCTGATCAAAAGACGGTCAAGATGAAACTATTCCTTTGTACTCCGCACATGCATCCGGTGTCTCATCAACAAAGTCATGGTCTGGTCTAAGCCCCGCAACGTAGGGCTCGGCTTTGTTGCCGTCCCCGGACCTGGCGGCTTCCTACTCTGGGGCTAACCATAGGATATCCTGACCATCCTTCTGATCAGTTTTCTTGAAGAGCTCCCTCTTTTATGATATCCCCGGATATGAGTGTATATATTTCAACTTCCTCACGTTTTCCCGTCTCGAGTATTGCAGTCTCACACCCATGCTCAGCACACTGACGTGGCAGCCTGATCCGGCTGAGAAGGCTGGACTTCAGCCTCGTCGCCCCATCGAACAAATAGAGACAGAATCCAGATCCGCAAATCCAAAGCTTGAAACACAGGTCCAAACCGACATCTATCCCAGCCAATGAAGCGGTGAGATTATTCGCCCTTAGAGGCCTATAGCAATGCGTTAGACGGATATCCTAGCCGCCAGCATCTCTTCATAAGACTTCGACCAACACTGTCAGACCGAAGTTCGACACAGAGGAATTTAACACTCGCCATACATATCTTTCTATGTTCTTTTTGCATTTAACCTATATATCAACACGATTCCACGATGGTACCAAACAAAGACAGAATCCACAAGCAAAAAAGTCTTTCCCATGAAGACTACACCATAGCATGGATCTGCGCCCTACCTGAAGAACGAACCGCCGCACAAGCGATGCTAGATGAAGAACATGACCAACTCCCCAAACCACGCAACGACCACAATGCATACAACCTTGGCTCGATCGCCGGTTATAACATCGTCATTGCATATCTGCCAACCACAGGGACGAATGCCGCAGCGACCGTTGCAGCTAACATGACTCACACCTTCCAATCAATCAAGTTCGGACTCATGGTCGGGACCGGCAGTGGTCTTCCTTTTAAAGTCAGCCTGGGCGATGTCGTCGTCAGTCATCCTGTTTTACAGTACCCTGGGGTGGTGCAATGGGATATGGGGAAATTGGAACGTGGTGGGCGAACTGTACAGACTGGGCCGTTGAACCGGCCTCCGAATATACTCCTCAATGCGTCGAATCGGTTGAAAAGCGACTACGAAATCTTTGGTTCGAGCATAAATAAGTATCTGGGTGACTTGGAAAAGAGTTTCCCGCATCTGGTGCCACAATATACCAGGTGTGATACCTTGAAGGATCCATGGGCGGCGCTTGACGGCCCACGTCGATCACGCACACAAGGGTACATGTTATTGAGATTGTGTCAAACTGTTGTTGCTGCGATTTTCTATATCTTGACCTTATGGCTGCTTGCGCCTAAGCCTGTTGAAAATGGACAGGTAAAGCGAAGCCCAGAGGAGCCGCAGGAACGAAAGGAAGTGAGGGTCTATCATGGCCTAATCGCTTCTGGAAATAGGGTAGTCAAAGATGCACAAGCGCGGGATGCCCTCGATAAATGTTTTGCCGGGCATGTACTCTGCATTGAAGCTGGAGGAGCGGCAGGGGTGATGAATGACCTCCCATGCATCGTTATCCGAGGCATTTGCGACTATGCCGACCGGGAAAGTACTGGGGATTGGCAGCCCTACGCTGCGACAGTTGCTGCGGTATATGCGAAAGAGCTTCTAGGGAACTTGCAGGCAGATGTTACCCATGCGAGAGGGCCAGTTAGTGAGGCTTTGGAGAAGGGTCAGTACCAGATTTAAACAGAACATTGGGTCCATTTATTGCGAAAACGGGGCTAATGCAATTTATGGATTGTTATGGGGCATCTCCTTTGGGAAAGACCCCAGAAACAAGCTCGAATATCGATGACGACGACGACGCTGGGACGCTTGGTTAAAAGCGTGCTCAGTGGCCAGTGCATACTGGCAACGCATGATCTTAAAGCGCAACGACATGGCCTTATCAAATGGCCTATTGAGTCCTCTGGATAGGGTCGATGGCTCGAAACTAGAGAGTCGGGTCTATATAAAAGACTAGCGGTACAAGAGTATAACAAAGTTGGTGACATGATCACTAAATATTTGCTACAAGCTCATTGGGATGAGGCATTAATTAGTCTTGATTGCCGGTTTCAGTGCATGGTGTCCAAGTTGCTGTTTATACTGCATTGTATGATACCGCTTCGTGATAATGTATGATCTCTTCCTGGATGAAGCTTGCAAAATAACTCGCTCCGTACTCCTCGGGTATTAAGGTTTGCAATTCTCATCATATACAGGTGGTTCGTTTATCCCTTTTTTGGAGGAGTGAGTGGACGGAACCTGACTGGGCAAGAAAAAAAGAAAGAAAAAAAGAATAATGGGGCAAGCCGGGCTTGAACCGGCCACCTTCAGATTTACAGGGACATCCCGAAGGATGAAACCTATGGCCGAAGTTTACTTCAGTCTGACGCGCTCCCAGATGCGCCATTGCCCCTATTGGATGATATTTTGGTAGGATATTATGCTACACAAACGGAGCTTTAATTGAGGTCATTGATCCATACTATAAGTGCAGGCCGGGCGGACATGAGTTTATATTAAATCTCTTTTCGAAGGGATCTTTGAGACAGGTATGCTTCAATAATGAAATGGGTGTAATAATTTGAGTATCTCAGAAGTGCAGCCGGTGAATGGGCTGCCGGGATGAATAGGGTTGTAGTGTTGAGCGACCCGGGATTCCCCGCCGTTTTGCAATGCATCGTGTCTGCAATAGCTTCTTTGTGACTCACACAGTCAAACTCCGGGCAACGCATCGTGTATAGTTTATTAGTTTCTGGCATCGTCGATTTCCAAGTGCGGGTTTCTTTAAAGCGAGCTGAGCTCGCTGTTGTTTCGAGTTCTTGGCTGATTTTGTTGCATACATACTTTTGAGGTACCACACTAAATAACACATACCTTACTTTCTTGGCTGTTTGATTTAATATATTAATCTTTCACACTCCTACTACAATTTTGTCCCTCTTTGCTACAAGCATCATGACCTTCATAAAAGCCCGACCCCGACTTACAGCCATACTTTCCGTGGCAGCCTTTGGCAGCGTGGCCATCTATTTCACCAGGCGACACTTCGACCGATCATGTCCCAGAATCCCCATCACCGATCTTCCCCAATCAAGCGCATGTCGCTATCTCCTAGAGAGGGCGGGGGAAAGCCCCACCCAGAAGCCATGGGGAATGGAAACATCAACACTACTAGCCTCATGGTCAGGGGGCGACAAAACACACTGGGTTCCTTCTTTCACAGCACACCAAGTTGAAGTACCACTATCACTACTCGCGGGATACGGGGCATCGAGCAATCAGGACAATGTTGCGAAGCACGACGCACACCATCTGATGCAGAACTTCGTTGCCGCATTTCTAGACGCGCGAGCAACGGGTCCAGAAGCAACGTTTTTGGATAAATCGCGACCCTCATTGTCATTCATGCCTGCTAGTATGTTATTCGGAGATAGAGCTTTCCCTGGAGCCTTCATGCTCGGGACCTGGAGTTCAACAACCGGAGCTTCTATACAGCCTCTGGATCTGCCTTCAGATGCCATTAAACCGGTTTCTGAGTTCTTTTCGAACAGAGATGTCATTCAGGGAAGTGAGGTGGATACGGCAGGCGCCGTCATGTACTGGAAATTCCCAGACGGGCTGGTCAAATCAGTTGATCAGGCAGCTTCATACGGATGTCCGTGGCGGTTGATGGAGGGCGGATTTCAGGAATTCATTGTTGAAAGGGTGTCGGATGAAAAGGCGAGATTGACATATGTGACCATCGAATGCAGCAATATACACCCTGAAGGTCAGGCTACGAGGGACTTCAAAAGACTACCATGGGTGCTATATGAGGCACACGTGCTTTATGCGCAAAGCCTTTTGGCTAAAGCTATAAGTCAACTCGGGAAGCCCACTTGTGTTGAATGATCGGATGGGCATAACTTGACTTATAATATAGATTTTAATATTAATTAAAGTCTCCACTCAATTTTGACTCGTGATAAATGAACTTGGCGCCAATTCGACCAAGCTCTACTGTGAGATTGGGTCCACGCCTCATATTTCTGCCAAAAAGAATCATTGGGTACCGACAGAGCGTGATTGGCTGAGGTAAAGAAGCAAAAAGTGATGACAAGAGTGGGATTCGAACCCACGCCCCTTTCGAGACTAGGAATATTCGGATGAATATGTATGATCAGGTACCTGACCCTAGCGCCTTAGACCGCTCGGCCATCTTGCCCGGTTGTTGAAGATTAGTCATATCTTGTGCTCTATGTTCCTACAACAGGGTGATGAGATCAAATCAGATACTGAGTAGGACTAGAATTCGCCTACATAATAATGGTCGTGGAGTATATATGGAAAGTGGCTAGAACATGGATGCTATGGTCGTAGGGATGTGGTCGGATTGTATCTTGAAAGGTACATACATACACACAACGCCACTGCTCTGCTATTGGGTTGGGTAAGCATTGTGTAAGCCGGGGGGGCATTGAGAGCTTGATGCTGTTAGGGTACGAGTCCCGCATTTTATGCAATGCCGGTTCAGAGGTGTAGCTCCACTGTCGTGTAATTCTATCTGTACAGTGGGATTTTATCTATGAGACCCCAGAAGTGTATTTCCACGGTGGTTCCTACATGAATTGTATATGGCTGGGGTTGCTAGTGCGGAGTATTGGACGATACTACTACTACTCGGGGGATGAATCTGAACAGTAGTGGGGTCGTTTCTTGTGGTATTTTCGGGATTTTCAGTGTGGTTCTGGTCGTAAAGGAGATATCAACAGCGCTGGGAAAAGGCCATGGTAATACATTGATAAAAGGGGTGTTGCGTATGAGACTCGAGAGTTGATGTTCGAGATTCTTCATCGAGTGAGGGTTGGACATAACAATATCAAAAGCACTACGGAGTAGGGAGCGGAGTACTTGCGGATTGATCATTAATTAGATACCATGTGACATGGGAGAGAATACATTGGGGGGGGGGTGCTATATAGACAGTGAGTGCTAAAAAAAAAATAGCAGGCAGCTCTGCTGCAGAGGACAAAAAGGCAAAAAGTGAATGACAAGAGTGGGATTCGAACCCACGCCCCTTTCGAGACTAGGAATATTCGAGTGAATATGTATGATCAGGTACCTGACCCTAGCGCCTTAGACCGCTCGGCCATCTTGCCCGTTGTTGAAATTTTGTCATTTTTGTGACACCATCAAGGTAGATTAAGCATAGCGTAGGCCATCTACGGTCCTCCAGGAGACTGTGTCCCATCTCTCCTTAAGCAGTGAAAGTTGAAATTGTGAGGAGGGGTTTTAGGAAGCATATTAACTTGGCTTGCCAATATCTTTCCTGTCATAGGTCTTCCTGGTTTATTATTAGGCACGTGTAGCCCTGGTCCGTCCGACTTGCTCCTGTCCCGGTCATAACTTATCCCCTTAAACAGGATGACAGCACATGCAGGATGCTTTTAATATTAGTAATAATAATCATGATCTGTGGATGTATTACTTATTTTTTTCAAGCTGGTCTTGATCATCTTCGACTCTGGAATCTTGCCCATTGAATCATATGATACACTAGACGAACGGGGTTGGTTCACGATGGGACCCTGTATGCCACCAGTTACATGGTTCAGATCTCGTTGCCGGTGCCTGTCAGTGAGAATGAATTTTATTCATGTATGTCGTTTTTCATTTGTAGAAATCATACTGATACTGGTTGGCTTTGAGTTCTGCAGTTACTATTTGCGGGCTTTCTGTGAGTAGAATTGCTGAGTCCTTCCGCCCATGCGGTTCATCACCCTCGATATATATAACTATTCGGTAGAGCTAAAACATCACATCTGAGTCCACCCTCCAATGAACAGTCCACCAAAAATCCATAAAAAAAAAGGTACAAGAGAAAAAAAAAGATACAAGAGAGACCAACATGAACGGCAGGAAAATAATAATTCTGAACAGAATCGACAATTTCCCAGAAAATGCAAACACATAGCCTTAGAAGCATTTTTCTTTAGAAAAAAAGCAATGATCCTCCCTCCCCGCAATCCCGGGCGGATAGGAATCCTTGCAAAAAGGAATGACAAGAGTGGGATTCGAACCCACGCCCCTTTCGAGACTAGGAATACTCCTGGATGGAATATGTAAGATCAGGTACCTGACCCTAGCGCCTTAGACCGCTCGGCCATCTTGCCGGTTGATGTGGAGAGCGATCAAGTTTTACCTACAGATCCCAACATCAACGGCACACCCTCCATGACTTGGACGCACGTGGAGTTGAGATTCTCGTGGCTGGATCGGAGATATGAGACATGGGGAATCGTGGCAAATAGGTTATTTCAACGGCCCAGACTCGCGGCGTATCAATTCAATCCTATCATCTTGCTCATTTCCATGACCTCATTTTGTAATGCCTCATCCCCGTAAGGAAGTTCGTCAAACGGTATTATGCACCAATGCGATTTCCAGAAAAATAGATGACCTCTTAAACGGTACATTTATGCTTGAATAATATCATCCAGCCACAATATTCAAGTTTCGAACCCATCACCGCACGAGCTATAAAGCCAAACCTCATCCTCGGAGCTAGCGCTACACGCAACGCCAAGATTCCGATCAATCAGCCAACCCCGCGGATATAAGCTTCGGCCCTCGGACCAGCTACTCCACCAGCCACCTCCTCTGTGCTTGGCTGACCCTGCATCACACCGATTCGTTGCTTCCTGCTGCCGCTGCGACAAGCATTGATCGGGAATCGGATGTGCTGTGCTCCCCGACCCCCGACTTCCGTGCGGAGGACCCATAAGCCTTGTGTGATGGGCTGATGCCATCTTATCAAGGGTCCGACAAAAAGAGCAAGACTAAGAACACTGAGTTGGTCCCACAGTATTGTTGTGAGATGGTTGATCTCATAGTATTGTCTTGTCTTAGCGTTGTGGCCGTGGGTGGTTGGTGTTTTATTTTATTTATGGGGATTGCTTTGAATTTCTTCCGCGGGTCTATGAGGTGTACAGTGGCTGTGGTGATGGTTTTGAGTATTGTGCGTAGGAATGAAAAATCGATGCTGCTAGTGATGCAGAGGAGTAAATCCGGGGACTGGTGTGTAGACTATAAAGGGAATCATGTATGCAACGAAGTAAAAAGAAAGAAAGAAATCCTTCAATAGACGCGTCTGTTCCATCTGCGATATCACCCTGCTATTTTCAAATCCGTGGCTCTTCAGTATTGAAAAGGCACGTCACCTTGCAGAGACTCATCAGGCATTCTCCAACCCTCCGATGGCGGAAACGGTCCCTCATCAGCATTCTCTGTCGCGGCTTGTACCGGCGCCATATACATAAGAGGCGTACTGACGGGCGGAAAAGGCCGTGACGAATCAGCCCTCCCCACAGCATCATCCATGTACCATTGATCCGCGTATGGCGAGGCCGTCACCCCTCCAAGGGAGGATACAGTTGCTGTCGACCCGGGACCCCTCTGACCATCTAACAAGGGAACACCTGGCGCTGGTGGAGGAATCCCGATCCGCAGATAGGGGTAGCTATCCGCGGGAGGGGCGATGAGCCGCCCCTGAAGCTTTTCGTACCAGTCACGATTCTTGACAGCGATGACATGATACCACTTGCTCGGGACGCGGTATTTCTGCTCTCCGCTGGCACGCAGCAGCGCCTGCGACAGACGGTCCAGATATCCGTCTATGCCAATCATCTGAGAAGAAATTACCTCTCCCAGAGGGCCGAACTGCGTTTTGTGGTAGATTCGTAGCAGGGAAGAGATGCCTAGGACTATGCGCGTGTAAGTCATGTTGGGTAGCTTGCGCATGGTGGAGATGTCGCATTGCAGGAATGCGTCGAGCAATTGATGGGCGGCGAGCATCCATTTCGTTACGATTTGAACCCGTGCGACGCTGAGGGGCGCGTTCGCTTTATGTCGCTCCATGTTTCCCTCTAAGGGCGGAAGGGTGTAATATTTGCGCGCAGGAGCGTCTGGGTCCCGGTATCCCTCGCCTGCCGCTAGCTCGTAGATGGCAAGATACAAGTAGTGGTATTCGAGGGTCATCCAGACTGAAGAATGAGAAAGTGTGCACATCAACGAGCTAGGATACGGTGCTTACCTGTGAACATGTCTTTGGGGGTGGAATTCTTCCAGTGTAACATTCGGGAATCAAACCATTTCAGGATTGGCATCATCTGCGATTCTAGGAGGGAGGTGTCTGATAGAGTGCTGTCATGGCCTAGCGATGACAGTGTATCGTCGATGATCCGTTGCAGTTCAAACCATGTCGCTAATTGTTGATCCAAGATGTTGGAGGACTTTTTGAGAAGATTCGTATACTCTTCTATTACACTGTTGAAGCAGAGCATATTCGGTCGATGTGTTCGCATGCCTATGCTACAGAGTTGTCAGCCACGAGAAGACTACGCAGTGGGTTCAGAGCCCGTACTTGGACGAAAAATGATAACAGCCTAGTACGGCCCGTGCCTGCGCACTATGGGTGGAGACAGGCAGGTCTCCTTCTTCGCCATGGCATCGGTGATTCCTTTGCCCTGCTTTTCCGGCCGCGATTCCGAGCTCCAGGGCCATCGTGGTTGCAATGTGTGCATACTGGTAGTACTGTCCCTGTACGCGTGATTTCGGAGGAAAGTAGAAGATGAGCATCAAGAGGATGGACTGGATCAGCTCCATGGACTTCTCCTGTCTTAAGAAGAATCGCTCCGCATACAGCTTGAGCAGCTCCTCGTTCAGCACAGCTGCATCTGGCGTGTCTAAAGTAAGGGACGCCGCAGATAGTATCGAAAGAAAGAGCACTGGACTGGTTCTGCGTAGTGTTTCCATATCTGTGTTCTGGTCGAGTACAACCACGGGGTAGAATTGAGTTAGGTCGTTGATGAAAACTGACAGCAGCCTCTGTGCCGTATCAGCTGATATAAGGGCGCGATCAACCACATCGCCCGACCCAGCCGAGGAGGGCCCCATGGCCAGGTTAACATTGGTGGGAGCTGGGCTGGCATTGAAACTTCTAATGGCCTGACTTGAATCGCCCACAGTAGACGCCGTATGGGAGCCAGAAGACTCCATTCGCCACGGCGGGGGTGGTAGTGAGGTTGATGTTGTCGGGAAGCTAGGTAGCTTATTAGGGACGGTAGCTGTCGGAGAAGCGACGACGCCAGCATCGTACGCTTTTTCGCCAGAATCCGAATCTGGTCGTACCTGCCCATGTAAGAGCGACCGCAAATCTCTTAGGTCTTTTTCCAACTGCGCGACTCGCGAGCCTGTCTTTTTTCGAGGCTGCCGTCTGAGGGTGTGCGCAAACACGCAGTTTCTTCGTGTCCGGGTGCAGCGCTGGCACTGGCTCGGGACAGTGGGATCCGGCAGACAGCGTACCTTGAGGGATCTACAACTCTCGCACGACTGGTTTAATGGTGGCAAAGGAGCCAAGGGATGGTGACGATAGCCGGACGACATAGGGGCAGACATGGCATGTGGCATGTGCAAGATGCATGATCCCCTGAGACGAGATTGTCTGGACTGAAATTTATGAGGATTGCGTTGCGCCAAGACCGACAGTGGAGGTTTAGCTTGCGCCGAATCCAAATCGAAATCCCGCTGTAGGTGATGTTATCTTAGTCCACTGTCCAGCGATCCTTTCAACTCATCGTTATAGACTGATTGGGAATCACCCATATGACATAAGTCAAAGTTTGCAGTAAGGCTGGGATTTTCGACCACAAACACAGGTCGGTACAATCGTGTCCAACGGATTAAAACGCAGGCGCATACGTAATGCAGAAATTAGACCTGCTGAGTGTTGGGAGTCTGAGGGTCTGAGACGGCTGGGTGGAGCCCCGGATATCGGAGGTCGGGGTTAAACTTTTCGCCCGACATTGCCCTGTAGGGTTTAGTGATACAGATCATGTGACTCAGGGTCATCAGGCTTATTAGGAACTGGTACGGAGTAACAGGATCAACGATATTGCCAGTAATGCAGCCTTGTGCTATTTATAACCATAATAAGCACGTAAATCCTTCGCAATGGATTTGGAGTGCAGAAGCCCTAGCCATTTCGAGTTATCGATAGATAAGGAGGGAGCTTCACATAGCGCTTCTTCACACGACCAGACCTCCATATAAGGGGTATATGACCCTTATGTCAGAAGATGGGTGTGGGAGCATTGAAAAATGCACACATTAGTGGTTCTAAGTCAGGATGTCAGGGAGCGTCGTGGTTGGCGCGGTATGGCTTTCTGAGCCTTGCTTTGAAATGCAGCTCTTCGCGCTCGACGCGGCTCAGCCAGATGTCCATCATATCCCGAGGAAATGTTTTCGTCCCTAGCTGGAGCAATAGAGATATGAGTCGCCATCTTGGTCGATATAGTTCAAAACTCGACTGCAAGCCATCGACATACGCCGAGGCTAGGTTATCAAGGGTCTTTATTTATGACTTCGGAGGGTATGTGAGGTTTTCGGCGAAAGGGAATCACCTAGCTTGACTCGTAAACATATCTGTCTCAGCTGTAAGAGCCACAAAATTCGACGGGAGCTTTCGGATCTTACCTCTTCAACCTGGAGACGTCTGTTGTGGAGCATGATCCTGTCGTATAGTTCCAGACCAGAAGTGGAACCGAGCTCATAGGATTGTGCTCGGATCGTGGTGACAGTTGACAGAAAATGCTAGAGCCTGCATCCAGACGCAACATTCCAATGGGTCATGCTGTGCAGGAGGAGTTGGGGGAGAGACGGCGAGCTTGAAGAGGGAAGTCGCGTGGGGAACGCGATCATGTGCCCAGGACGCGGAGGGCCTTGCTGCCTCGCTGCCTCGCCTCGTACAACCGCACAACCGAGTTCCGCTTTCCCCAGACTTTCTTTCATTCACATCACCACGCGAAGGTCGCAGAATGAGACCCGCGGTTGCGATTCAGAGGCACTAGCCCACTCTACGAGGGTTCCAGACTGCCTGCAATCGATGTCAACGCAGACATGTCAAGGTACGCCACCACACTGTTGCCAATCTAGTGACGCCTTTTGTGTTGGCACACCTTGGTTATGTGATGGCAAAATCCCCACCTGAAGTGATTGCTCGGGAGCAATCATCCTGCGTATTATGTCGATAGCCGCAATCGCGAGCATTTCTTCCCTCGAGGATTTAGACACCCGCTCCGCATACCGACGCTCCATTTGGATTCCCGACAGTAGCGCTATATGGGCCCTTCATCTGGGCTTTTGTTTGCAAAGGTCATCGGACTGGACATGAATTCTCAATTAAATAGTCCATTGTCACGTACAGAACAGGGTGATCAGGAGCGATCATCAAATTTCCTACTGTTGGCTCAATCTTATCACTCACTGCTCCGAAGACACTACTAGACAGCAAGATTCAGCCCACAGAAGAGACGTCTAACCACTCAGTAATACACCCAGACTTTTCCAGATCAAGGTCACTTACACCGGCAAGTAAGGCTCCCTATGAAATCCCGTTGATTTTAGTTGGTTGAAAGCTGACGAGGATACTTTCTTGATTTAGAGGACTATCCAAACCCACCCCTCGATGAGTTGGCGTTGCTGCGTTCCGACACAACTGACCGAGATATCTTTACACGATGGTAATTGACTATGCGATGGAAAGATTTCCAGCAGAATTTGTGCACGGAGACCGGGGATGGGGTACACTTTCGGAATCTACACCTACATGAGGAAATGATACGGAGATGAATATGGCCCTGGTCTCATTGACACTTTCAACTCGTCAAATCACGTATTACAGTGCCTATATCCCCGGGTTGACTTCCAGAAAGAATGAGCTGTAATGCTCATCGTGATGCCAATATCCACTATAGGTCTCCACAGAGGCGTGAGAGGTTATATACATGTCAAAATGAGCACGAGCTCATGCTCAGGACCTGTTTACTTCCTCAGTCGCTTGATAGTACTTCCTATCTCATCTCCTCGCTCTAGACAACGCCGCGTCTCTTCGTCAATCTCAAAGCGCTCCTGACAGAGGCGCACGCATTCCTCTGCACTGTCTGGAGGAACTACTACAACCCCATCCGCGTCTCCAATGATATAATCACCAGGATTGACGATGACTTCGCCGCCATTTTCCACATTCTTGTACGATACCGGAACATTCAGCTCGGACGCTCGTGTGAAGGTATTGGTTCCCAGAATGCTGTTGCCACGGGCAAATAGATTCATTCCCAATTCGCGGTGCTCGTTGATATCACGAAACTTGCCATCGATGACGACACCAGCGGCACCACGCTTTTTAGCGCGGGTGCTCATAAGTCCTCCCCAGCAGGCACTTATCAGGCCCTTGGGCTGGGATACGAACACGACGCTGTCTTTAGGGATGGCGTCGGCGAAGTGAGTACTCTGACTTGGCGAGACTTTGTCTGCGGCATGCACCATCTTCACAATGTACGCAGGGCCGAAGGCCTTGGCCGTGGGAGACATGAAGGCTGGGGAATACATTGTGAGGCCGGACAGGTAACCGCCATGGGGGACTTTGAGTTTGACGAGCGCATCGCCAATCTGAAGGACCTTGAGCTCCGACCATAGTACTGGGCCTGGTAATATCTACTTACATCGCAGGATGAGAAGCGCTGCAATGCACGCACAACGTCTGGCTTGATGCTCATTGTGATTGGTTTGGATGATAGGAGCAGATGCAAGAGTAAGGAACGGAGGTTGAAAGAGTTGTTGTTGGTGTGAGGTTGAGACTCGGGCGGGCGGGCGTTCCCCGCATTCTGGAGCTTATCCCGGAGCGCTCCGGGCCTGCGGAACTCGGCTCGGAGTACTCTGGCTTGGCCTTCCGCTATTCGGCTGGAATCCGCATTTCAATTGCCTTCGTCGAAGCCAACAAGGTTAGCGGGAAATGTTAAACTAACGGGTGTTGTCTCTCCTCCGAGTGCTTTGCCTTGCCATACGTGTTGTTTCTACCATGCTGTTGGACCAGCATTATCCAGCGATTCCGACACATACTGCCCAGAAAGCCATCATACCGATGTTTGTGCCAGAAGGGAACTCGGGATTACGCGATTTCAGGGACTGAAAGCTCAGTAAGGAAGACTGATGGGCGGGCTGAAGCCTTTTGATTTAACGATTCACAAATTCCCGATGTGGATTCTGCGAACCAAGTCCGCCCCATCGAGTCTCTTAATAAAGGCTCCAGGCATCCGCTTATATTGACCGAGAAAGTCCTTAAGAGCCAGTTATACGATCCAGAGGAGAATCGGTACACGATGTCTGAGATTAGATGCCAAGGACAATTTTGGAACCGCGGCCTGACAGTTGGATGTCATGATGAAACTGCAATCATGGCGTCACAATTCATTAGTGCAGGCCAACGAATGCGCACAGCACCCACTTCGTATCCCAGAGAAAGGAGTGGATATGTATTTTCAGAGGGTGACTGTAGAGTACAGATATCTATGGTCTCTTGAGCAGTGCCTGGTGAATGTATGGGATTGGCTTCTGGAAACCTGGATCCGGCATTGTCCATACTGTCGTTTTTGAGAACTATGCAGTGTAGGTATGTCGCTATGAAGCCTTTTGAGACCATCGCTAATCTTTTGTTTGTCGACAACAGAAGCTTGATTGTCGGCACGAATTATCATCCCGAATACTGGTGGAATGGGCATGCCAGGACTTGATGTTGGCGAAGCTGACTCAGTGAATGCCAGTCAAGAATTCATCGAGAGCTGGTAATGCCGTATGTGGGTGTCATTAAGCTGATTAGCAAGCTCCAAGGCTGGAAATTAATCAGACATCACTTGCAAACAGCTGATATTTCGGGAGACATGGAGAAGAAATGCCCTTGCAAGATCCCCTTCCTAACCGCGTCCGACATTTGTCTGATTCACGGCATTGGGGTGACGATCGCATTAACGTACTAGGACCTTCTGGATATGGGGATCATTAGAGCGCTTTCCAACATTGCAGACGATATTTATGTGTGAAGGCCGTTCGCGGTGACGGCGGTCGCGACGGGGAGGTGGTGCCCTCTTCAGAGTATAAGGGGAGAGTTATGACAAAGGTATAAGAGGTGTTCCAGTGACCGTGTCGGAGGATTGGGCCTGTTAACGTCTTCTTGCTAACAATGATCGTGCGGACGAGAGCCAGGCCGAGAAGGAAACGAGTATACATGGAGGAAAAAAATGCTACCTGCTATATCTTGAATCTGTTTCTTCCAACCACTCGATTCACCGTTCATAAGATGTTTTATCCACCGAGAACCAGCATACGAGGTGGGGGGAGGGGGGGTGAAAGAATGGCAACCTAAACCCACCCATAACGAAGAATATTAATTTATCATACCCGCAACCACGCGACAAAATAATAAGCTTAACTGCGTGACACACCCTGGAACCAGGAACATCTGAGACACGGCCCACGGCTCATACCCGGCCGAGCCGACCATTAATAATCAAAATTCCCATGGGGGTGCGGTGGAGAGCCAGTCCGAATCTCCCCCTTGCATCTCTGCCTAATGCAAGATGTACATTATGCAAACTGTCCCCGACTCGATTCTTCGCGAAGAAGGAAACCATCCGCTGGCGCGCGTGGCGATAGCAGAAATGCCCGTGAGAAGTTCATTGAGGGTTCTGGCCAATAAAACGAGCGGCAGTACGGAGTACAACTGCACCATGAGGTCCATGACAAGGTTCACGCGGAGCGTGTTTCGGAAACGCCGGGAAACCTCGGCATATCTATGGGCTGCTGATTTGCTACGGCCTGCGCCAAGGGGGTGATCATTAAAGATACGGGCTAGCTTAGGGTTCGGGGTACGAGCCATGAAGGTCACGACTCGCGACTGTCCAAGGAGGAACTCCGCGGGGCGGGCAGTGGAGTGATTTCCCGGTTAGTGAATTCGGATTAGTGATTCCCAACTGACCTCGAAGCCAGAAAGGGCATCTCCTCCGTTGAGGTGGCGTGTCCCCTCAGCCCTTGAGTCAGGGTCAGACTGTCAACTGTCAGTGTCAGTGTCAGTCCCCGTAGGTTCCAAATTCCCAACATTATGACAGATTACCGCCTTTGGCCACGGATTTTACAATTCTCCAGACCCATCAGCGGCAGCAGTAGATGGTATCCATAATCTATTACGGTATTGTATATACAGCTAAACTTACCTAAGTAAGTAGTTTACACATCTTCTACTATGACTAAGCCAATACTCACTGTATCCAGAATCATAAAAGGCAATTTTACAGAGATACGTCTCTAGCTCTTTCACCTATGGGTCTCGGGGAATTATAAAATCTGTGGCCAGAGGCGGTAATTCAAACATTCCAAGTAGAGGGACGGAATTTCAATGATCCCTTCTCCACGCGATATAACACGCCACTTACCCAGCCACCCCCCCTATCATTGAGTGGTTGTATAGCACATAGAAACCCCTCATTTCCCCTCACCATCCCAACTAATTACCTGCAGTTCATCTTCAGAACAAGCAAAAATGGCAGCCACCACGACCATCACCGTCCCCCACCTGGGCGGCATCGACGCCGGCTACCGCCTCTCCAACAATAATGTCTACGACCCCTCCAAGCCGACCGTCGTGCTCCTCAACTCCATGTGCATGACCGTCTCTCTATACGAGCCGCAATTCTCCGACGAAACTCTCACCAACGCCGTCAACCTCCTCGCCATCGAGCCCCTTGGCCATGGCGCCACCCACTGCCACTCCGCGGAGCACTTCACCTACTGGGACTCGGCCATCATGGCGCTGCAGGTAATGGACAAGCTGGGAGTCGAGAAGGCATTTCTCTTGGGAACCAGTCAAGGCGGATGGATCGTCACAAGAATGGCCCTGTTGGCGCCAGAACGGGTACGTTTTCCTTCTCGAACCCTCGTCCCCCCGCCCCCCCCGTCTCCATATCAATTCCCAGCGGGTAGGTAAGTAAAGCCATGCGCTGACCATTGATTGATTATCTGTGATGATAGACCCTCGGCCTTCTGCCCCTGGGCACATCGATGGATTACGAATCCGCGGACTCGCGCAGCAAAGGATGCTGGGACCCCGTGTCGCTGATCGCCTCGTTCCTGGAGAAATGGAGTAGTTCGGTCCCAACGCCCGAGTTCATCGTGGACGATGTGTGGTGTGGGTTGGTAGGGGGGATCGGGTTCGGGAGAGGAGGGACGGAGGAGACGGCGGGGTTTTGGACCCGAACGCTGAAGCAGGTGTATGCGGGCGATGAGGGGCGGAAGAAAGTCCGCATGGCGCTGATGTGCCTTTTGACGAGAGATGGGTTGCTGATGCGCCTGGGAGATGTGAGGTGTCCAGTTTACTGGCTTCAGGTGAGTTTTTTTTTTTTTTTTTTTTTTTTTTTTTTCTTCCCCTCTTTTGCTTTTGTTGTTCGGGGGTTTTTTTCCTATTTTTTTGGAGTGTTGAGTTTCATGGTGGGGGGAAGATTTGGGGTATTTGCATTATTTCATGTTGGTGTTGTTGTGGGTGGATATGGTATGGTTGGTTGGTCCGATGCTAATCCCAGAGGATGTTAGGGCACGGAGGATACCCCGTTTGCGACGACGGTGCCTGCAGAGCAGATCACCAAATTCACGGGGTCGAAGGAGGCGAAATTGGTGATGATCAAGGAAGGGGCGCATTACCTCAATTCGACAAATCCCGGCGAGGTCAACGCGGCGATTTTGGAGATGGTTCAGAAATACGGGATGTAGACAAACAATCTATCGAGTACTAGTCCCTCGGGAGCGATAAACGAAGCGGTCTGAGAGCCGTAGCTGAATGGAAGCACTGTGTCGAAGTACCGAACAAGCTAGAAACGCACTTTTTGGTTCGACTAAGACGAATCGTTCCCATCCTTCGCGTCCGTTGGCGCCGCCCGGAACGGCGCTTGTGTTCCGCGTTCCTGAAAGGCCCTCGATTTGCCTCGCTGGGGCAGTCCAGGCCAGAAGATCGACGTCTGCGACTCCCAGGGCCGAGTCTGATTGATTGATGCTTACTGTCATCATGGATTGCCACTTGGTATCCGGGATCCGCTCGAGGAAAGTCACCTCCTGCCACTTTCAGAGTGGGTCGGGGCTGACTTGGGCCTGGCTAACAGGCTAGCAGCGCTGTAGTACAGAATTTTGTGGTCAATGCCCTCGATAGATTATATTAATTGATCCGTTCGTCCTCCTGCTTTGTGGACCCCGTTCCTGACTGTCCGCCGGCAATGGGATATGGCTGCTGAGAATCTCCAGACATGGGCTACGGCCACCACAGCCTCTGTGACGCTGTTGGCCTTCATATCCGTCTGTTTGAGAATCATTTCTCGCCTCGAGCGAAAACAAAGACTATGGTGGGATGACTGGATGATCCTGTTCTCCATGGTAAGACCTCCCTCCCTCCCCCATCTAATCACCCCCGAGAGTAGCCACTTACTCCTCACCAGGCATGGAATCTGATCGTCGTCGGCTTCATATTTGCCATGATCTCCGAAGGCATGGGTGTCCACGCCGACAATTTGCCTGCCTGGAGGATTGTCATGATCGCTAAATTCCTCCTTGTTGCGGAGATTCTCTACGTCTATAACCTCGTCTGGACCAAGCTCAGCATTCTCCTGATGTACTACCGCATCTTCCACTTTACTTACTTCAAGAAATGGGCCTACATCATTGGCACTTTTGTCATTATGTGGGTTATCTGCATCACATTCCTTTTCGTCTTTATCTGCGTCCCCGTGCAGAAGGTCTGGGAACCGAGTCTGCCGGGCCACTGCATCAACCAGGTCGGAACCTGGGTCGCCAACGCAACCTCTACCATCGCTACCGACCTCGTCATCCTGTTTCTTCCTCTCCCTCAAGTCTGGAAACTCCAGCTCCGACTATCCGAGAAATTCGCCCTCACCATCGCCTTCGGTTTGGGTTTCTTGTATGTCTGCCTCCTTTCGTCCCCCTACCCCAAACTGACAGAACCAGCGTGGTCTTCGCCTCAGCCTACCGCTTCACCGTCCTTTTCTCCTACACCTCCACCGATTCAAGCTACACCCTCGCCCCGACCGTCGGATGGACCGCGATCGAGATGTCCGCCGGGATCGTCTCCGCCTGCCTCCCCACCGTCCGACCCGCCCTACAACTCGCCGTGCGCAAACTCGGAATCCAATCCGCCATGCCAGCTTTCTTCCGCAGTCGATCCTCCCCTCTTTCCAAGACCGACCCGACCCAGGTCCCCGTCGACAGCACAAACAGCACAGCCGGGATAACAGCCAGCGCGAACCGGGCCCGCCGTCACTCGTTCTACCACCTTCCCGATGACCTGGCGGTCGCAGACACCATCAGCCCACAGATCAAGCTCGATACCGCGCTCCGACCGAAACATGATCGCGGGCTCACGGTGACGAATATCCGGGGCAATCGGGATAGGATCAGCAGCGATGAAGAGGATGAGATTCCATTGCATGGTATTCGGGTGCAGAAGGACTTTACCCAGGATGGGTAGGTAGTAGGCGTTTTACTTATAACAAATCATCGTATTCATTGGGTTGGCTGGTTGGAATTTGGGAGGCAGTTTTTCTTTTGTATATTGTGTCATCTAGCATCACCTGGGAGTTACTTTACTTCACACTGTATGAATATATGGATGGATCAGATTTTTCTTCGCTTCCGGGGAGGTTTCTAGTGAGATCGTGCGTGTAACAGGGGGAATCCTTGTCGGGCGTGCGCCACCGATGATGAGCTTATGCTTATTTGGACTAGGATCTGATGAGTCGATAGCGATCTACGGGGTACTCTCTGCTAGTATGCTTACATTCCCCATCTATCTGGTGGCGCTTCCTTTTGTTTCTTCCATCCTTCGATCCTTCGCTTTTGCTTTTTGCTTCTTTTCCCTTCTTTCTCCTTTTTTTTTTTTGCTTTCCGCCCCCTCGGGGACATCGGGGATTATAGTACCTATAGTGCAGTGTACTAGCCAGATATCGGCTGAGTAGGATATGACGGAAGAAGGCACTCCTATTACTGCCATCTTTTCAGAATTTACTTTGCCCCTCTGCAACAGAATATCCAGAAACAGAACTAGCATCATCAGGACCACCAACGTAATCTAATACGATACAATATCTGGCAATCAATTCGCTACTACAAACCCCTAAAAGTTGGCCCTTCACTACCTCCTCGCCCATGATAGTTAATGGCCCCTGACCATTGCCACAACCGATGATGAAAGAAACTTTCATACTGAGTGTTCACGCAGAAATTGAGTGATGGACATCTCCATTGAATGCCTGTATTAGTCGATAGAGTCCCTATTTAATCTTCCCATCCCTCCTTCATCTCTTTCATCTTTCCTCTTCTCTTTCCACCCCAACTCCAGATCCGCATTCTGCATGCTACAGACAGCGTCATGGCACTTTATTTTGAATACTATTAGTCTAAAACAATCACTTCGATTATCAGGGAGTTTCTGATAGACTATTATTATCGACACAATTCGAAATTCGAACATACAGTCGTATGCTCCGTCTGGCTGCTGTACTGTTCGTCAATCCAACGCAATCCTGAGAACTCACGCTCGTTGCGTTGGGACTATGGAAGGGAACACTGAAATCAGACATGATTTACTTCACAAGGACCTTGTCCTCTATCTCTCCATGCTAGGACTCCACGCGAACAACAAGTTCCGGGATTTGCGTACCCCGAACCAGCACGATATGCTTTGGCCGTGTTGAAGTTTGATACTACTCAAGATACCAGCCGGTACTATAACGGACCGTTAACCTTGGAGAAAGTACCCCCATTGAGAAACAATTCTCGACTGGGCGACGTTTGTCTGTCTTCGTGTTTGATTGGACGAGGGTGATTTTATGCCAAATTCATCGACCACTACGAAGGCCGACTTTTGAAGTCTTCGGTTATAGCTGTGGATGCACCATTGGCAACTCCAAAGATATTAATCCAAAATCTGCACACAGCTCTCCCATCGGGGATGCGTTTGCAGAGAACTACGAGTCCGATCATGTATCTTGCCGAGGGGAATTTATCGTTGACCATTATCTGGTACGTCGAAGTTTTCAGTGACCAGAAAAAACCAATATATCCGCGACTGACTGTCTTAGTGTCTCCTTCGTCGCGCCGTGCGCCCCCCGCCCTCCCCTCTCGCGAGGAAGTTGCCGCGTTCGTCGCGGGGCTGTCGCCCTCCTCCTCCCTCTCCTCTCTTCCCTCCTCTCCGCGTGTGCCCGCGGTAAGTGATTTCTTAGAGAGGTTTGTCATGTGTCTCGCGACTAATATGAAGCAGGGCCGGCCCGCCCCCGCGACCGCCTCCGCCGCCGCTGTCGCCGCCACCGCCACTGCCGCCGCCGCCGCCCCAGATTGCTGTGTTTGAGTGGTGAACTAAGATTATCGGCGATATCCTCGAAGCGCAGATAAGAAATCCAAAGTTGGTCAATTATGAGAGCTCAAACGTTTTTTTTTGACCCACATAAAGAAACAACATGGCGATGAAGACTCGGCATATAGAACCTCCGAACGCCATATCCTTCCCGTCCAAGGAGACCCGTCGATATTGAACATATGCCAGCAGGCGATGAGAAGTCTGCTGTCTACAGGTTAACATAACATGCGATTTTGCGCAGAAACTTGATCACTCATAACCCGCTGCTTTTGAGGCCGCACCTCGAGGACATTATAAATGAGGAATCAGAGACAACAGATGACCCGGTATATGCGGCTCGGACAAATGACGTCCGGCTATTTGTCAACATACAACGAGACAATCTTTCTCAAGCAGGAGATTGTAAATGGGTAATGGGTGCTAGCATACAGCAAACCCATTGCCCATTCAGCTGGTGCGAGGGTAGTACTGGGAGGTGTAACGGCGAGAGAGGACGTTTAGTCGGTGACTAATTTCAGGATGCGCAATTGCTCAAGCGGAAATTTTGTTTCGCTTACTCTGATGAGCGCTGAAGTAGTTGAAGGTTCGGATCATCTTTCTTATGGAACCAATGGGGTCACATGAGGAAGTTGATGAACACTTCGCCTGTTATCATACAAAATAGGGATATATTGGGGCGCAATAGCGCGGTATCAGGTTAGAAAATGGACGAAGAAGCACATTGACGCTGCTCATTAGTCTCTTATCAAGAAACATGAAAGATCGGAAATAGAAATTCAAGTATTTACATCGCCCCGTTGTTTACAACGCGACAAAAAGAAGTCGAAAGTGAATATAAAGAATCATGGAGCAAGCCGGAAAGGGGATAGAGGTTTTTGCCTCGTTTCAAGTTAAATAATCTGTCGAGTGAACAAGATTAAAAAAGAGTATGAATCCAGCGAAACCCTCCGTCGGGAGTATATCACTGCTGGCGGTCGATATTCACTCGCCAGGTACAAGGGCTCAGCGGGAGGGATATAAATACTCGGTCCTCCCTCTCTTCCCCTGCTTCTTTCTCTTTTCTTATTAATCTCTTCTCTTCTTCTGCAGTCACCTGCCTGTTACTTTTCTTATTAGTCAGACTCGCGTATTTTTTCTTTATTTTAACTTAATCTTAATAGCAACAATAGTGGCCATGTCTATTATATAAGATAAATTCTATATTATACTTAAGAAGTATAACTTGTCGCGGATCTTTATCCGCGAGTATCTGAATAGTTAATTTTCTTGAAATTTGGGCCTAAAACAGGCCTAAGATAATATTATACTTAAGCAGATAATTTATTATACATATATAGATATCAGACTTAATATATATCCCAATATTCAGTTATATAAGAGTAATATAATTAATTATTCTTTTCCCGCTGATTCCGGCCATCGGAACGGGCGTGATGGGGATCAGTTTCAGGCCTTACTTCTGCGCAAACTTCCGGCTGATAATTTCGTAGGCTAAGCACCCAAGCGATAGTACATGCAGCTGGGGATTGCGGTGACCGTGACAATAATGGCGACGAGCCTTCCTTGAAAGACGAGAACCACCAACGGAGAATCAACTAGCTATACTGAGAAGCCTCACATTTGACGAGAAATACTGCAACTGCGTAGACAGTTGGCGGTGTAGGACTTTCTATGATTGTATATAGCAATTCAGCCCTAGAATGACCCTCAATGTCTGCGACGGACAGAAGATAACTGAAACAGATTGTTCAAAATGTAACAATTGACTGATTTTGTCCTTCAAGGGAATATGACAAATGTGAAAGAATATAAAAGCGCATCAGTACCGAAGGATATTAAAAAAAAAGCACGTCATTCTCCTCTCAGGGATGGGACGAAGAATTGTGTCTCCGTCATGGGCCCAGAAGATTTGCAACCACGTCACCTAACATTCGACATATTCCTCAACATGAACAGCCTCAAACAGAACCCGGGGAAGCTATACGCGTGGATCCTCGAGAACCATCAAGCCACTTCGGCCAATGTTACTATGAAAGGAGAAGAACAATAAAAGCATTACAATTTGTTGTCCGACCCGATGGAATTTATTGACGAGATAACTTAGGTCGCCGCACTACTCGCTCGATAACAAGGCAGCAGGAATATGAAGAGAGCTTACATGCTTAAAAGATGAGTTAATATTAAAAATGGTAGCATGTCCTGGTTATACTGCGCTCATTATTCGTGTATCATCATTACATATCATCTCGATACAAGGGAGCGCACCGTGGCAGGAAGATTCAGCCTTGCGCCGAATACTAGGGAAATATCCTATAGGACCACCTTGAATATCTCAATTACCATAAACGGCCAGTTTAAGGCCTATTGCATCTTAATATTTATGGTCTCTGGTTTAGGATGCGTCCCGGTTGAAACATGTCCTACACACAGACGTCTACGAACCGATTTATATTCAGGATCTGACTGGATCAAGTGAAGCAAAAAGGGATATCAGCAAGCCCGTTAAACAGACAATGGAACCTTTTTATCTAGTAAGGTATGACAACAACACGAGCCATGTGCTGCCTTGGTTATGTTGCACTGGAAGCAAGGACTGAAGCAATTCCTGTGGGTTCGTGCCGTGATTAAAACATCTGCCAGCATGGGAACAAGAGCTGATAGTCGATCAGTATGGCGAGCGATTCGGCTTTCTAGATCGGGGACATGATATCAGCAATCTCATGGCCAACTTGCAAAGTAGCTTTGCCATCAGCAGTTTAACGGGTATGCTGCTGTGGTTGCGGCCTCTGGTGATTTTCATCAGCACCCTCCAGGCAGCATCGGATTGGATGTTTATACCGCAGTGCGCCGATAGAAAGATCTCCGAATATTCCCAGAAGACCGAAAAGGAACCCTCAGGCGAAAGGCCCACCCCTATGATTAAGAGATTTCTTGACGCCCTGGAAGACAAAAGCAAAGGCATGACGGAGCATGATATAACGGCGAACGCGGCAGCCAACATTGGGGCTGGAGGTGACACCGCTGCTATCGGGTTGAGCGCGGTGGTCTTCTACCTGTATCGCTCGCCGGAGAAGCTACAGAGACTTCGAGAAGAAATCGATACCCATAACTCAGAGGGAAACGCTTCTTTCCAGGAGCTCCAGAAGTTGCCGTATTTGCAAGCGGTGATCAGGGAATCCATGCGAGTGCATCCGGGTGTAGGGTTCCCTCTCTTCCGCGTGGTGCCCAAAGGAGGGGCTTTGATTTGCGGCAGGTTCTTTCCCGAGGGAGTCTCTTTCTCTATTAACTGCTCTGAACCATATAGGCTGACAGACTTACTTGCAGACAAACGTCGGGGTAAATAGCTGGGTAATCCACCGGGACCAAAGCATATGGGGTCCCGATGCCGACGAGTTTATACCAGAGAGATGGATGACAACTGATGCTGCCAGGCTGAAAGTAATGGAGCAATATCTGGTGCCCTTTAGTGTTGGTTCAAGAACGTGCATTGGGAAGAATATCTCGCTGTTCGAGATCAACAAGCTTCTCCCACAGCTTGTCCGGAATTATGACATCGAGATCGAACAAGAGAACGACAAGGATCTAAGAGCCAAGAATATGTGGTTTGTAAGGGCCTATAGGTTTAAGGCTAAAATCAACAGGGGAGAACTTACAGTTGGACAATAGCCTCATGACTAATTGGGCAGGTATTTGCAGGTTGTGTGAATCATCGCGAAACCACGGCAATGAGCGAGCACACCGTGCATGTCAGGCAACTTGATGCATAGCACATAGAGTCTGAGATCATCGGTAATAGAAGATTCTCCATTGAAGCAGGGGCAGAAAATATTTGCAGATGGCTAGGTTCTTGGACTAGTTCCCATAAGAGAAAATCATGTAATTATTGTGCCGTCTGAGTAACAGACACGATAGTCGGAAAAATGTAAGTTTCCTGGGGGGGGAGGGGGGGGGTGGCAGGTGCTATTTCTGAGAGAGAGAGAGAAGGGAATGACCTGCAATTGACACGGATCAAAGCACCAATCTCAGAATTCACTGGTCGAGGTTGACAACCTCGGTTACACCTTTGTCAGGCCCCACCTGTTGGGCTGGGAAATTTTGGTCTCCACAGTCCCAACAGACCTCCAAAGCATGTCTTCTATCTTATCCTCCATAGCGCTTTCTCGTTGGACAAGTGTGATGGATGTGCCCACCGGGCCCAATTGAAGGCGATCATCACGCTGATGAAGGGCGATATCAAACCTCTAGATGATACATCCTTGTCATGTAAGTTGCGCCCAGTGATGTACATCATTAAATTGTTACATGATGCAGCGGGGCGGGTATTGACAACAGGAAAGAGATTGAGGCATTTTTGTTCACATCTGATGTCTTTTACAGTGCCTGAGCCAGTCGGGACTCGAAAGATTTCGTATCCGAGGCTCTCGCTCCGGCTGTTAATATTTGGAATATTGCTAATCTTTGAATAGTACGGCATAGTTATGGACACTACATACCCAGCGATTGAATGCGACTCAGCCTTCCTTTCTCCTGTGTATACGATAGATTACAGCGATAATGCTCACCATGACTCAAGTGCGAGCCGAAATAGTAACGAAGTCCTTCGAGGCTGAAGAAATTACAGGGCGTACCTTGCGGGCCTTACAAGTGATAATTTAATGTCTCTATTTGATTGCAAAATGAATGGGCAGTGCTTTCGATGGCGACATAGTACCTCGGCAACTAGGTGAGGCCATTCTCATCCATGTCGCCACCGCACTGGTCTAGGCTCTGATGTCAGGGTCTTTCATTCAGAAAAGGGCGCGGCAAGACCAGGAAGATCCACTCTGGACCAGCACTGGACTCTGCCCCGAGCGTCGGTAGTTATGGGACGGGCGACAGCCATCGGGATCTGGGGACCTCGGAGATTGCATCAGACGGGAACGGGGGAGGGGACGATAAAGAAGAAATCCCGATGGTGACTTTGACGAAAGGGTCGATAAGGGTGAGGCAATACGGAATCGACAACAGTCACCTGGTCTGGGTTATCGTTTCATGAAACCGATGGCTCTTGGCTAGGGGGTTTCGGAGCCGGGAATAATGACGTTGTGGTACACTATTTCCCCTGTCTGACCTCTGATCCAGGGAAGCCAAGAAAGTTAGTATACAGACAAGCTTTCCAAAAGATCTACTCGGAGTTTCTGCCACAGCCTCGTGGCTAGCACGGTCGATTAATTGTGCCGCGGTATCGAAGGCCTTGGGCGGAAATGTGCTTTTCCAGCTACGCGATACCTTGCATATTCCCTTCAGCTACATCGCATCTGCTGTGATCTGATTCTTACCCAAAATGAGAGCAGTCTAACTAATGCAACGATCACTCAGCTCAGAATGGCTCTCCGGAATAGCATTAGACCCCTAGACCTAGCAGGGTCTGACTGATCTAGTCATGGCATAACAACATGCCGGGGAGTAAAGTTCAACCTGAGCGGGACTCACTCACTCTGCGACAAAGGTGGGAGTCACACCCGATGCGTTCTGATCTGTGACATCCCAAGACTTGGAACGGGGCTGTGGAACGGTAGTCGAAAATCAATCGAAAACCGCCGGGTGGGGACGGGAGTCAACGTTGGAAGTCAAACCCCTACCGAGGTTTTCCCACCAACACAGTCGACACGTCGAACAGCACCGATGATTCTCCCGTTGATCGTCGCACTGGTCACTAGGCAGCCACGCTAGAGCAGGATCTGAGGTCTGACCACTGAACGCTCGGAGCCTCAAAATTGGGTCGTCCGAACGGGTCCCCACACCCCTGACGGCCCTGAAACAACGGAGCGAAGCCCTAACGACCACCCCGGATAGCCACCACCCCAGCCATTCGCTCACCCCCGATCCAAGCCCCCCCAGGCTCCTCTGGACTTCGGCGCCTGGCTTGCTTCTAGTACTCCGGATCAGGACCCGAGGGCTGATGGTTTCCTTAATCTAAACCCATCCAAGGATGGTGGCTACTTCGGTGATTCGGGCCATCTGCCAGGGCCAGGGTACGAGGTCTAAAATTAAGTCTCAGATTGTTTCAGAGGGATAGAATTTTCCCGATTATGAACCATGACGGAACGCAAATGCAACAATGCTATAAGAAGGCCTCGAGCAAGACACAGTTTCTCGCTGTTTTCAGAGACAAGCTTAGACAAGCAGTTGCCATTCATTCACTTTATTCAGCTCATTCTCCTCTTTTTTTCCATTCTTTACATATTTCAATTCTATCACCATGCGTGTTGAACAGTCTACTCTTTTCGGCGCACTTGCCCTGTCTCCGCTGGCGTTGGCAGGCCCATTGTTCCAACCCCGAGCCACGGCCGGTTAGTCCCCTTGATTCTTCTCTCTTCCCGAGGGCTCTTTTCTAACCCGTCTGCAGACTCGGGCGCCTATGATGAGTTCCACAGAACGGCGCAGCTGTCCTCCGCTGCTTATACCGGCTGTATTGGTACAGCTTTCGATGTGACCATCACCAAGCAGATCAACGAACTCTCGACTGACACCCAGGTATGTTCTGCTAAACCCCACTGAAGATGTCACTGGGCTCACGGATGCAAAGGGTTTCATCGGTTACTCCACCTCGAAGCAGAGAATCACCGTGGCCATGAGGGGCTCCACGAGCGGTAAGCACTACACCATTCATCATCATGGCAGACGACTGGCATTATACTGACCCTCCCCAGCCACTGATATTGCCAACGATGTCGACACCACACTGGTGACTCCCTCCCTGTCCGGAGTCAACTTCCCCTCTGGTGCTCAGATCATGCACGGTATCTACTCGCCCTGGTCTTCTGTCCACGATGACGTGATCTCCGAGGTCAAGTCCCTGGTGGAAAAGTACCCGGACTACACCCTTGAATCCACCGGGCACTCCCTGGGTGGTTCTCTCACCTACATCTCCTATGTTGCCCTTGCCCAGAACTTCCCTGGCAAGCAGATCATCAGCAACGCCCACGCCGCCTACCCCATCGGCAACGAGGCCTTCGCCAACTTTGGTGCCCAGCAGAATGGCACCCTGAACCGGGCCAACAACGCCGATGACGGTGTCCCGGTTAGCTCCCTTCCTAACCCCCCTTTCACTCTATGAACATGTCTGACACAATTATCTTTAGAACATGTACGTCATGTGGCCTTGGGACTTCGTCCACTACGGAACCGTAAGAGTCCCCCCCTCCCCTCCATAGACACCTAGGCCTAACATCCAAAACAGGAGTACTACAGCTCCGGTACCGCCGCCACCACCGTCAAGTGCAGCGGTGAGCGCGACACCTCATGCTCTGCCGGAAACGGCCAGGTCGGTGTGACTGCTGGTCACTTCTCGAACTTCGGTATCCAGATGGGTCTCGCTGGCTGCTCTTCGCTGTAAGCCTCTCTATAGGCGACGCGACGCGATGCCACACTCCACCCATCCAAACTGGACCGGTGGGGGCTAGAGCTCGTATAAACATCATCCATCTGCATGCTGGATGGACCATGGGAAAGAGAAGGAGGCTGGATATTCTCGCAGCGGGCCTTGGCGGATTCTCCTTTTTTTTTTTTTTTTTATGGCTAAATATATATCTACATGTACATTCGATTCAGATTGCAGGACAGTTAGTTATCGGGGGGCTATCAGGGATGGAATCTTTGGTAGTGGTTTGTTGAATGCATTATCCATGTGATAGTGATGTTATTGAGTATGTCTTTCTTTGAGATAGATGGTTCAAGATATATTCTGCGCTTTGGATAGAATAATGCAGGGTTTATGATCATGTTGGGGGTTTTTGTTCTGTAGTTGGTTATTGTTTGATTGGGACGACCTCTCCTGGTGGGGCGTGGATGACAGTACTGACTTCCCCTGGACGTAACCAACACCGGATCAGCTCAGGTATCATCAGCATCTCCCGTATCCCGAACCAAACTCACCACTACTAGCAACCTGGTGGATAATAATTCCGCCTAGAAAGCTGGGGGACTTGAACGACTATGGGATGGGTCTCTTGGCGTGTGGGGACGCGCCCCGGCGGTTGGAGAAATGGACGAAAGAGGAGGAGGAGGATTGTGAGGAACAAACAACAAAAGGGGCAACCGCCCTCTTCCACCGCCTGCCGCTTATGCCGTTCCTGACCGCCGTACCACGTGACCGCCAGCCTGCCTTATCTCTTATGCCCCATCCACAATGTGGGCAGATTGGCCAGTTCGCTGCCTCAGGCTCGCCAGTTGGCGGACTGATTCCGAGTTCCGCCCACCCCGCAGCGGAGCAAGAGGCCTTACTTTTATTGATTATTCTAGGCCCTATTCAACCACTAGTTCTATTGTTCTCGGCCCTGTTCTATTCATATGATTTTCATATGATTTTTATATGAATTCATGTGTTTTTCATGTGTTTTCATGTGTTTTTGATAGCCAATTGGCTATAAATAAAAATGAAAAGACCCCTGAGTTTTCAATCAGTTTAATCAGTTTTAATCAAGTTGAATCAGTTTTTTAGCCTCTTTCTTATTCATCTGATCTTTGATTCTTCTTGTTTTTACTTCTTTTATCTTTCTCTCATCTTTCTCTCACTTTCACCTCACTTTCGCACCCAATTTATATGAGAAAGTGAGAGTTCAATAAAGTCTTTCTGAGAAATCTGTAAAAAGTTCTTAGTTATGAGCCTGGTTATACTCTTATATTAATTCTTTATCAATATCTCTGGGATTCTTCTTATTCTTTTGTTCCCCTTACTTTTACTTTATCTTTGACTTGAAATTTGTATGGGAAACCATAGAACTTTTAAGTGAAAAGTAAAGTGAAACCATAGAACTTTTAAGTGAAAAGTAAAGTAAAAGTAAGAGAAACAAAAGAATAAGAAGAATCCCAGAGATATTGATAAAGAATTAATATAAGGGTATAACCAGGCTCATAACTAAGAACTTTTCTCAGGTTTCTCAGAAAGACTTCATTGAACTCTCACTTTCTTTTTTTTTTAAAATAATAATTATATCTTACTTCACAGCTCTCCATGCGTCTTCAGCATCGACCTGGATATCGCCAGAATCTGCAACCCGCCTAGCAGCCCCATAATCTCCCCTTAAGCTACTGCAGTAAGCCAGCTACCCCCTAAAAGTCAACCACCAACAATCCTTATCTCTCAGAATCAAGCGGGAATATATAAGCAAGTAACAGCAGGGAATACGGAGTACTCAGGGGACACACTCCGTACTATATACTTTCATAGCTCCATACTCACAATTTGAATGAACTCCCTGTCAGTCAGCGACGAGGGCAAGTAACTAAGTAATTAAAAAAAAATCACGCAGATCTGGCCCTAAATACCAACGGAAAGTCCCTCAAATCTCCACACAACAGAAATCATGCTATGTTCAAAAGTACACTACCTACACCCACTAGCAGGGATACTGGGTGCCCCGTGCCCCGTGCCCCGTGTCCCGTCGCCCATCGGCTTTCGGCACTGTTTGCCAGACGCGGATGATGGCGAGGCGAGAGGGAAGAATCTGAGCGCGTAGTAGTAGTGCTTACCCCGCTTTCTGTGATCGGTGCGGTTGGGTAGGATGGGGATTGGGAATGGGGGTTTGGTTTGGTGTAAGTATGATTCTGTTCGTAAATTCACGTCTAGGAAATAAAATTCTATGTACAAAATGGTAGAGGCTTAGAAGGAAAAGAGTTCATTAAGACGTAGTGTAGTGCCTCCTGTATTCGGTTGGGCTCGGTTTCGGACGCGATGTGGATTATGATAGATGCGGAGGGTATCATCGTGTTTGCGGAGGCGGTGGGTGGGTGAGTGAGGAAGGTTTTCGGGTGATGGCGCTTGCAAAGTCTGATAGGTTTTTGTTAATTGGAGATCGGATGGAGCGGCAAGAGGTTGTGCTTACCGGACCCTAGCCATTGGAAGTATTCCTCATCTCATCCAATCACGGCGTCGGCAATTAGAGGAACAGCCCCAGAGCCATTGTCCCCAATCCCCAGAGGGCAGTGCCAGCGGAAAGGTGAACCGCGTTGTTAGCTTCAACGGGGTATGCGGTCGAGTTGTCGGTGTTACAGTGACCCTCTGTCTCTACCGAGCTCAGCGTGCAGTTGGCGGTGTTTCCCTTGTTGTCATCGAACATGACCAAGGCAGTATCCCAGTTGATGGTCACGGACATGGTATCGCAGATCGACTTGGTCTCGACGCCATAGTTCTGGCCGCACTCGTTAGGGAAGGGCTTGGAGCTGCCCTTGCATCCGAAGAGTTCGTCGTTGAGGATCACCGTGCAGTGCTCCACGTAGTTGTTGGCGGGCGGGTCGGTAGTCCTGATGTGCAGCTCAGCCGCTGAGATGGTCTGCGCCAGGACCGTGAGAGCGCCGAGCTTGACGAGCCAGGAGGGCATGGTGATTGACTTTCTATTGAGAGGGGCAACTGGCGGCGTCGGACGTCTGAATGACAAGAGAGGAGCGACTGCGGACGGTTCCGACCATGACGAAGGGAACGTGGGTTGCCTTTTATACAGGGGACCTGAATGGGTGTCTGCTTGACCGGTACAACCGGGTAACAAATTTCCCTCTCGCATGCAGAACCTATCATCCAATGACCATATGCATGATGATGTCGCATTCCCAGTGCTAGGCTAGCCCACCGGGTGGAACAAATCGCGCAAATATACTTGCGCCGGCTGTCGGCTCCAGGCAGACTTGGCAAGCTTAGCTTTCAGGAACCAGGGGCCCAGGCCATAGAGTAACCGTCACGAGGGTGAGAGCAAGACCTTGAAAAGCGAGGTACAGTACGTGAGAAACGTGCTGCTTTGAGCGGTGCTTTGGCGTCGGTAGGCCTGCATGAGTGCTGGGCATTGCAGAGGTGACCGTATCCGACGGATTCTCTCCATCACACGATATGATGTTATGTACCGAGTTATCCGACCGAAACCCCACCTGCATATCAGCAACCCTGTTGATGTTGGTTGGCGGTTCGGGCACCAGAAGGAGTGCTGACGGGTCGAAGGATGACAGCCCACAGCTCTGGCGTGCCGACAGACCAGCATTCATCTAGCAAAGATCATCGTGATTCCAGGTCTTAGATCTATCAAGCTATCCATCTGCAGTAGCGTCGGAGATATTGACTCGTAGTCAGGACGTGCGGGATTTTCCCTCAGGAGCAGATGAAGAAGCGAACTGACGACTATTTGTGAGATTTGAGGGTTGCTGGCAGTGATCCCGATTGGCGTCAGACGGAGCCGTGTCTAATTGAGTTGTCGATGCCATTGATGGGCGAGGAACCCGAGTGCATGATTCGGGGGGGGGTGGTGGTAGTGGGCAGTGGTACGGAGTATCTAGTGGCAGCAGTAATGACGTTGTTGTCAGGATGCGGAAGCGCGCGGCCGTGACGTCCCGAATAGGCAAAGCCCATCCAGGCAGGCCGGTTTTGGCACTTTTCCATCATACGAGGAGGACTGGCCATGTAAACAAACCGGACCAACGACACGCTGCATGACGCAGTCCTGGAGTTAAAGTTGATTTGGCATGTCAATCCAGTACTGTACACGGAGTACTTCGGAGGATTTAAATGAGGCACTGACCCCGTTGGTTTATTTGCCTCGTTGCCTTGCAAGGCGAGTCCGACGATACAACACACTCATGGAGAAAACTCTCTCAAGCCCTACCAGCGCCTTTTCTGTGGCCAAAGATAAGCAATCTGTGTACTCGGATAGAGAAATAATGAAAACCAACCTGAATTATATCCTCCTTCGCATAATAATGACCCTGGACCTGGAGTTCTTTCAAGGGACGTGATGGATGAAATTTGGAGTGGGTGGCTTCAGAGTTGGAAGTTATCCCAGCCGTGCTCGGTTGTATCCTTCCTCGTTTGGCAGTCCACCACAGGCCGCCATTCTTTCCCCTTTTGTCCTTGTTCCTCCCGTTTGTCTCCCTCTTCTTCTCCTTCTCCTTCTCCCTCTTTCTCTCCCTCTTCCTCTCCCTCTTCCACTCCGACTCCTCCAACCATCCCGTTCTCCTCCACTTCCTCGTGGGATCAACAGGAAATAGCCCACAGTCGATCGTACAGATGCAGTGATATTACTTCGTGACCACCCGATCGGGGCTGGCCGACTTCAGTGCGTTCCCGCCCGTAGCTGAGGGGCTGTGGGTCTCGGATCGTCAAGATGGCACCGCGGCGTGTGCCGACCATCTAGGTGATAAACCAACCTGGGCGCCATACCTAGTCCAGAGCTGACCAGTTCATAGCACTCGCGACTACGAAAAACAGCAGATAGCCGTGTCGCAGCCACAAAGCTTCAGCAACCAATCGTCCTGCGAGTCGGTGTCCGAAATACAACTCGCATGCCTGGTGCGGAAATATTTACCGGGCTGAAAACCAGTCTGCGGGGCCCCCAATCTCCCGCACCTCCACCAGCTCGGATCTCTGCCACTGATCTTTCATTGATCGCCCGCTGTCCTACCTCAAAAATACACCCCTATTCTGCCTAGTTCCTCTAGCCTGCCTCTAATCATGCACGTCGATTTCGAACAAGCAATGATGGAGCGAAGAAAGTGACGGCTGACGAAGTTCAGCTCAGCCGCACCAGTCTCCCTACTCGAACTCCTATTTAAACTCGGGGGTTGTCCACCCCTACGGCCGAGGACTTGGCTCTCCTGAGTTGCCATCTATACCAGCTCCGATGCACCCAGGATGAAAGCGCCACTGAACATGAGGAAAGGCGAAGACGATGGATTCGAATTCGGGGAGGAGACCATGGTAGATTTGTGGGAGAAAGCCTTCGCGGAAGCAAAAGGCGATCTCAAATTCAAACCGGGTGACGAGGAGTCGCTGGCCGACTTTCACACTGCAAACTTCCCTCTTACCCAAACAGAGGCCCTATTTCAAGAATGGCGGCATCCGAAGGCGGACACACCGGAGGTCCAGGAGCGCGAGCACAAGATCCGTGAATATGTGCAACAGTGTCTAGGATGGGCGCAGACAACATGCACTTATGCACATGACCACGCAAGCGGCACAGTGAGTGGTTCAATACCCCAAAATATACGGACGTCCTGACAACAGTAGTTTGCGGAACCAGTTAAGCTTCTGTCTGGAGGCATAGCCTACCTCCTGAAGGTAATCAATTAACCTTGTCTTTTTTCCGTGGGGAATCTCACACCAAATAGGCTGCTCAAGATGTCAGCACCGACCTAAATACCATTCAAAGTACCTTTCAGACAATAGCATCGGCCATGCAGGAGATCCATATCATGGAAAAGCACCCTGTCGTCACACCAACCGCTAAGGAAAGCCTAGTGAAGGTCTTCATCGCGCTGCTTTATTTTTGCTCCTACGTAGGGTCCGATCTGCGGAACCAAACGCGTCTAGGTAAGGCTGGCGGCCTAAGTATCAGGGAAAATCCTGACAGAAAAGCTAACTGGAAATACTTGACAATCTTTAGCTATGTGGAGAAAGAAGGTCCTCCGACAAGAGACCGATCTGGCCCAAAAACAATGCGAAAAGGTTGAGCAGGCAGTAACGACCTTCCACGACGCAATTCGGTTCGAGTCATACAATGATATCAAGGAGATAAAAGAGGGTGTGCACTGGCTCATCAAGAATACAAACACCAAGATGCAACAAACTGTTCTACTGGGAGGCATGTACAGCATGTCCGAGAAGGGGAACGTACTGGATAAACTGGCGAAAACACTTCAAGGCAAGCTTCATCTCAACCTCACGGTATTGTCTCAGATGGCCACTAGAATGGACGAGATTATGCCTGAACTAGTGAAAGACGGCTTTCGGTGGCTCGCCTCAAATGACTTATATCAACAGTGGCTTTACCGGCATGACACATCGCCTGTGCTTTATATAAGGGGCAGTGATGGAGTTGGGAAAACATCCCTCACGGCTCACTGCTACCAGCTCATACCCAACATGGCAGGGAGGAATCGCACTCTCGTCCAGAAAGAAACCGTGCGCCAGCAATTAATTGTAACCTACTTCCTGTTTGAGCCGGGCATGCAGTATTTCCAAAATTTTCCCAGTGTTATTGCATCAATTCTTTTCCAGATTGCAGCTCAGGATCCAAAGTGGTGTGACTCGATATCGGGGAAAGCTGTATTGAACTCGCACGACCCGATAGAGATCTGGAAGGATCTGGTGCTGAAGCGATTTGAGAAGAAATCGCACTCGTCCGAAGAACTCTACATCCTTCTTGATGGTATTTCGGACATGCAAGCAAAGGAGCGAGATTCGATGCTGCGGCTGTTCTATGAAAGTCTTAGCGGCAGAGACCACCGGGTTTGGATTTTGCTGACTGGATCTGGCAAACAAAATGAGAGTTTCCCGTCTGACATCGTCGAGGCATCTCCCATACCTATGATCGAAATGACGACCGACCGAAAGCTGGCAGAGAAGATCATTGAAAAACGCATGGCGCGGCTTGACAACCTTAGGCGGATTCGACCAGAATCTGAAGGTTACAGGCTAATTAGCGAGTACCTGTTTCAGTCATCCAACGGTAAGACAGGGGCTGAGACTATTGGGACTGTAGCATATCACTGACAAGTCTGGCTACAGGCAACCTGTCCATTCTGGATCAGACAATTGAAATTCTTGATCAGAATGGTACAGATAAAAGGAGCTTCCTGAAGTTTATGGAAGGAGCAGGTAGCGGCGATGAGAACTTGATTCGCCACACTCTGAGAGGCTCGGATGCGACATTTACTAGGGCTGTCAAGAAGGTGCTATTGTGGTGCGCTTTTGCGAAGCGGGCGCTTACTGTGTCTAATTTGAATGACATCATTCGACTTGATGATGATCTACAAGCGAACGGCATCAAGCCAGACGCCGTCCTAGAAAGATGTCGAGAGTAAGTTCTTCTGAGTCCCGAGTGTGACATGTGGAGATCTGACGACCGCTGCAGTCTACTTTATATCCGACGGGTGCTTCCTTCGAATTTGGGTCCTCCAAGTGTGAACCCTGAGTTATATTGGTGTTCCCGACCGGATCACGAGACAGGAAATCAAAAAGACAAAGCACACAAGCAGCCGCTTGCCGACGATTATGAGTATGTCGATTTCCGCCAAGCGAAGCTCAAGAAATGTATTCAACAAGGCGGTACAAATATATACACGGACGTGAATGCGGAGAAAGTAGAAATCTTTGTGACCCTCTGTGATATACTTTGCGGGTCGAGCTTGGAGCCCGAGAGCTCTCTACCTGAATACGCGGCCTTTAATCTCATCCGTCATCTAAGAGAGATTGACCTTGTGACCCATGAAGTTGTCCCAGTCGATCATTCGAAGGAGAAGTCCTTGAAGGACTTGTTGTCGAAGGACAGAGAGACAAAGGAAAAGGAAGCAAGATCCAAGGAAATGAAGCCTCAATCCCAAAGAATCAAGAACGACCAGCTGAAGAGAGTGGGAAAGGCTTTGTATCGAGTGCTTACAAACGAGACGGGTGTGTCCGCTGTCTTTGAAAAAGTCCAGTCTCAGATGGATAATAGTCATATTGACTTCGATCTCTATGACACCCCATCTGCAGGCACACAAGAATCTGGGGACTGTGGAGACTGCGTGAAGACGAGCACCAACGAGCTTATACGTGTCTGGGCGGAAGAGATGATTGCAAGAGACAGAGACGACCATTTGTCCCTCCCAGCTCACATCTGGAGCTGGGCCGACATTATGAAGACACATCCTGCGAGGATGTTGGAGAATCTAGCTCGAGGGCACCTTCAGAGCTGGGTCCAGAAGTCCACCGCTGAAGAAGCCAGAGTTCCATATAAGCTTGCGTTCCGCGCATTCTTTACTGTATGTATCGCAAGTTCGATTGGGTCATGTCGGAAAACTAACTTGATACAGACTGGTAGATTCCAGCACTGGTCGCGAGATGAAGACCAAATCAATGCCAGTATAGCCGAGGATATGCTAGGCCAGTGCAGAGATTCGAGGACACGGTTCGCGCAGGCGCGACTTGCAGCCGCATTGCTTCTATACGAGTCGCCTCATACACAAGACCGAGATTACGCTCTTTTTCTATATGAGAAAAATCGACACCTGGACGAGTCAATGTGTGCGGAAAAGCTTTATTCCTTGCTAGGTCTTGCGTCCCATTACACTCCTCCTCATGGAAGCTCGGATACTGCCAGCTGGGAGAAAGTCAAGAAGTACACGGAAGAAGCGCTCAAGTGTTGGAAGGACTCTGATGCCGCATTGCGGCCCAACTTCAACCCTGAGCAGTGTAAAAATGTCTATATGCTGAATGTGAAGGCTTGTATGGCTCTCAAGGATACCAAGTCGGCTCGCAAAGCTTGTCAGGACGCGCTGAACAACAAGTTCCTCCGGCACTGTCGGGCGTTGGGATACTTCCTGACGGTTCTCGTTCAGATACATGCGGAACAGGAGGCTCATTCATCAATTATCCAGACTATACAAGACCAGCTGGAGTACCAGCCTCCCTATTTCATACCAGCATGGCTCATGAACCGCTCTCGGCAAACGAACAAGGATGACCGGCTACGCAGAGCAGCCGTTGTCACCGGGAACGTTGATATTGTGATACAAATCTACGACCGCGCGATCTGTCACTGGGCGTATAGGGGACTTTTCCACGAAACGTGCGTGATGCTCTCTGAGCTTGCTGTCATCTATCGACAAGACTGCCATGCGATCAAGATGGCCGAGGACATTCTGAGCCGGATGCTGGGCGCTATGCTGAAGGACGAGTCCTTGCAGGTCGACTCCAAACTGCTCAGTATTATCATCATGGAGCGATTCGACATCTACTTTGACCGGTACAGCAAAGCGCGGAACAAGACCGCAAAAGAGCCACTTTGCCATGCAGCCAGCGCCTTGATCGCCGATGTCAGGGTAGCGGACGTCATCGAGTCATCCACGAAAGCCACCGTTCTCATCACGCTTGCGAAGATGTGGCGGGGTATTGGGTTCAAATACCGAGCGTACCAGTATGCCGACCACGCTTTCAAACTTTGCATCGTCGACCTCGAGGACCGGGTTGACGATAATGACATGGATGCTTTCCGCGCACTGACCAAGGTCTTGCACTTTGCCGGACTGTCGAAGGACGCTGGGATCGCTGCCTCGCTTATCTTCGACAAGGCCAACGCAAATGCATTGGAAGTGAGCGATGAAGAATATCGGAACACACTATTCTCCGCTGTTATCACCGAACACCCTCCCTCCGCCGAGACACTAGATCTGCATATCACCACAGGCAGCGACGATGCATTCGCCCCACCCTTTATCCACGAACATGAACATGAACATGAGCATGCAGCCCCCCTATCAGCATCTAGTATCGCGACCGACCCGACCGAGAAATCGCCCACAACCGCCGCAACAACACCCTGCAGCGGCTCCATCCAAGAAACAACCAAAGTCATCGACGAGGGTAACGGCAGTCTGCTACAGTGCATGGGTCCCTGCGGCAAAGACAAGCTGAATCAGTGGGAACTGGGCTCCCCGGCCTGGTTCTTCTGTCTCGACTGTCCCAGCACGGACTACTGTAATGAGTGCTACAACACCAAGGACGCGAACAAGCACTCCCAGGATAAGGGGCTTTGGTCGAAAGTGTGCTGGGGAAAGCACACGTTGATCCAGCAGCCGATTCTTGGATGGAAGGGTGTCAAGGATGGCGTCATTCGCGTGGGTGGGAGTAGTCGTGGCGTGAAGGATTGGATGCTGGATATGAAGGAGAGGTGGGCGCTTGAGATGAGGAATAATTCGAAGAAGAGATCGTGAGCTTGGTGGCTTGGTGGCTTGGTGACTTGCGCCTTGTTACCTGGTCGCCTTGCGCTGGGTTTCATAATTACATTTTATTTAATTCATAATGTCGGATCTGGAGAGATCTGAGACGGGCACACCTTTTTCCCTGGGTCGTCACATGATTTGCTCATATCGCCACAACAGCTTCTAGGGAAGAATCTGGCTGTCACAAACACGCTAGGAGCTCATTCGGGCAATCAAAGGAAACCAGACTGTCCGCCCTGTCTTCCACTGCTCAGCTCTCACCGAGGATTGGCGAAAGCCTGTGTCTGTTGGTCACTAGTGATGCATGGCGTTAGGACCACGGGTCCAAGCTACTGAGGCAGGCAGGAATTACTAAGATTGAAAAACCTGTCTAATGGGACCCCCTCCTAGGGCAGGCAGGAATAATTACGATTGACTGACTTTTGCACGGTGATTAACGTCGAAGTTTTCCAGCCACTCAGGCATCCGCTTTTACTGCCGCATGCATGCGTGTAATGTACCACGCACATACAATCCAACTCACAAATCCCGTGCTCAACAATAGTAGAGCATCCGGCGCGGGGGATTACTGTTCTCCGGGACCTGGCGGCTACCAGAAATTTATTATTGGAGGATAGTAATAAAAAATGGGGTTGTTCTCGAGCGTTTGAAAAGTTCCTTTGTTCGATGGTTTATCCGATGTTCTGTGGATCTGCAGGTAGGGTGCATCCGGATAAAGACGGTGCTGTGGTGGATTCTGAGTTCTGAGTGGTTGAAGCGTCTGTCGTCATGAAACGTCCCAAGAACAACTGCAGCGTGCGGTGCAATCTCGGTGTCTAAGGCTGCTGCAGCTGTATGTAGGTACCTGTTTTGCGTCCACAGTGTGGTTCTGCATAAGCGTCGCTGCAAATGACTGCCGGCTATACCGAGTGCTGTTATAGGATGTATTTCTTGCTCTGCCAGGACATAACTGTACAGACATGTCTGACTGGATTACCATGAGCAGGAATTTCCCTTACTTCTTAACTTTACGATCTGATCTGTGTGTGAGAGGTGAGCATGTTCTTAGGGCATATGGCCCATGGAAATTAAAATGTGTACTTGGCATGGCACTTGGGGAATTTCCCGGGGCCCGGTGGCGGTGGTCCAACTGGTCGTCGATTAAAACAATCGGCGCGGACCGTTCTTTAGGTCCGCGGTTCTGCCGCGGATGGACCATGGATAATACAGTCCTTCTGCCACCGCGTTTACGCATTAGGTTAAGTGCGAGTACTTTAGATAGGCGGTCGGTTGCTTACCTCATCCGATATTATCAACTCGATAATATTATTGATATGATGCAACTAGGTTTGCGGATGGAACATGGTTGTTCCATCTCCGGCTGAGTAAGCGCTAGGGAGATCTGACAGCAAAAAAAAAAAAGACACAGAGAGAGGTTTTAACAGTATTGATGATAGGCGAGCTCTATCTACTCTGTCCGTACTCCGTAACCCGTAGCTACTTGACTCGCTGCGGAGGTAACAGATCAACAAGACCACTCTGCTTAAAAGGTGTTCAGACACCAAGATAGGTGTGATACTGAATGATACTGGGTTTGATAGGAGGAGTGGTCCGTCGTGCTGGCAGTCCGTCACCCAGAGAGGTGCCAGGTGCCTGTCTCCCACACTAATAAGGCTATATTCATTTCCACTTCCACAGCCACCCCGGAACACCAACCCCCTCTCCTACGGCAAACCCTTTCCCCGGGATGGGTAGGTGCCAATGAGACCTTGTGCATTATTAGCACTTCGAAAACCTTCAAAAAGGTAGCTACTCTTCAATCGATCTCTTTCAAGAATCAAAAACAGTTGGCAGATAAAACTGTCAATATTTTTTTTTTTAAAAAAAAAAAGAATGGCACTCCCGATCTGGCATCGGGGCAGACTACTTCAGGAAAATGGTCCCGGCTTCCCCTCGGACCCACGGGGAACTGCATGCCCGGCTTGACTGCCAAAAAGACATAGTGTAGTCAAAGAGGACGTCAGTGGTCCGATGGGAGGATTGGGTTATTTCCTGACCCCACACGTTCTCTACCTTGACCCATCACCGAATGGTGGTCATGTTTGTTTGTGTCTCTTAGTGTTGCATTCCTGCCCTACAGATAAGCTGGAGCCCCTGTCTGGCTGTCTACCCAGCATCATGGGACCTATGATATTCAATGAGGATTGCATTTCCCCGATATCACCTGCAGCTGCAGCACCTGCCGTCTTCATTTTCACTGCCTTTTCTTGTCGGGAATACTGTCATTTCCATCGAACTTCCGATCTCACCTGCAGCTGCTGCATCTGCTATCTGTATTTTTAGCAGTGCCGGTTAGGATGGGACAGACATACTAACCACAATCCCCCCCCTCGTCCGGTAAGGTAGGTACTGTTAGATACTACTCTGTATCTTACTTGCCATCCCCTATCTGGTACCCAAGGTAAGTTATACTAGGTAGGCCCTGGAGGGCAGGAAGACAATGATGTAGGTACCGTCGCGTCTTGCTCTGAAAAGTTATAAAGGCCCCGACAGTCAAACTCAGGTAAGGTGAAGTTTTCTTCCTGTTCACCATTCCTCAATCCAGCATGTCCCTCTCGAACAGCGACATCATCGGCATCGTAACCATCATTGTGTCATGCCCTCCCTTACTGCTGTTGATCTGGAAGATCCTCGATCGGATGAATCGTAACCGATCGGAGCGCGACCGGGCTGGTATGACTTACCTCACCAGGGACATCACATCGTAGTATCTGTGCATCGCATGCTAATGTGCCACCATGTGCCTCCCAGCTGCAGATGTTATCCAAACGTATCGCCTTCCCATCTACGAGCCTGTCGCCCAAAAAACATACCCGCGTGCCAACCCCCAAGCCATCGTCTTCTTCTACATCACTCTTACCGTCCAATTTATCATGCGTATGTTCCTTTCACCACCATCTATACCTTCCCTCAGGTTAACCACCTCCAGCATTCCGTCGCCGTCGCCAGTAGCTCTGCATCTACAAGACAAACAAAGTCAAGCAAAGCATGGCTATCTTCCCCGGCGTCTTCATTTCTTGTACCAGCATTTTCGGGTAAATATAGACCGTATAGAAAGCGATCCTGAGCAATCAATTGTTTCTTTGTTGTTTCTCTCTTCAGCATGTTCCCGGTTCTTCTGTCCCTTCAACTCAGCCAGCTACTCTAGTCCGAGTTCGATCCACCAGAGCATCATCCTACCTCACCTTACCCCGATCATCATCAAAATGTGTACAGCTATCATGTTCAATTGTTGTCAGTATGTTAACAAAGGGAGCCCCTGGGTCAGGGAGTTTACTTACTACTTTCTTTGTTCCCCCCCCCCCCGGGGCCCAAAAGCGGAGACCGCGTGGGCCGCGACCGGGCGACGGGCGGGCGGGCGGGCGCCAAGATTCATCCCGATCATCGATCGTCGAAGCGTGGTTTGGAATGCTGATTCTATTTTATTCCACTCGACCGATTATTCCGAACCGTTTTCTTATCCACACCTCTCGTGCTACATACTGATCTACTCAATCTCAGTACTTTCATCTACAGGTTGAAATGCTGATTCCGACTCATTCTTAAAATAGTCGGTGTGTGGGCTGTTATCGGGATCGCCTCGCACATGGACGCTGGTCGCTGGGTGCTGGACACTGGACTGGATGCTGGGCGCTGTACACTGGATTGGACGCTGGACGTTGGATGTTTTTATAATTTGCACCACTCTGTTGACCACATAGCATATTGTCTGGGCTAATTTTGTTTTGCGCTTCTTAATCTCCAAATCCTTGGATATTTTCTGCTCACTCCCTCATAAAATCTATCAAGTGCTGGACCCCGGCCCAGTTGAGTCTATCGACTGTTACAATACGTGGCCGCCTTCGACTTCCTGCGACGCGCAGCCACCCAGAGTTTCTTCGCTTCCCTGTCCTCTATGACCACAACCGGGTAGCTGGGATAGAGCATTATCAGTCCCTGTATCGCGAAAGTAGTGGCCGGATTCAGACCAGGACTCACCCATCCAATTTCTTATATACTTATTATTTGATTTGTCCGACCCTGAGCTCACCTATATTTCGCTCAACATATCTAGTATATTTTGACGGAAAAACAGCCACACGAAGCAACGGAAAAGGTGGGTTGATTCGGGTGGGAGGGGCCAGGGATCGCGGCGACCAAGTAAGGGGGTGCGGTCACGTGGCCCCGGAGCGGCCTCCTGTGGTGATGTGATGCCGTTGTATCCAAATATTGTTCCGGAATACAACCCCCCCCCCCCCCCCCCCGGGGGGCTCCAACAAGAACAGGTATCTCAGACCAGCTGGACCCCATAATACTAACGCAGAGGTACAGTACTATTGTACAATGTACGTGCTTTTGCTCTACAGACCACACAAAGTGGATTCTGCCTGAGCTTAGCGCATGTCGTCCTACTATAGCGACGTACTGTGGCTGTGATGTACACTCCAAAAACGGACACTTCAAAAACGGGCATGTAAAAGCTTCTTGCAAAAAAATTATCAGTCCACTTTGGGCGGGACTTTTGTTTGGCTGACAGTCTGACGCTTTGTCTCGGTCTAGAACCTACGGATTACCAGACACCCACCCTCAATCTACACCTGTTGCAGTCTACTTCTGACCATCGTGGATGTACCTACAGTAGATAGTTAATTACTGTATACAGGATCATAAAAAGCAATTCTACCGAGACGCGTTTCTTGGGTTTCCATCCATGCTTGGGAAAGACCAGAGGGGTGGTACATTCTGGCAAGAAGAACCAAGCGCGGTCCCGAGAAATTCCGCCGGTCACCTCACCGCCTTTATCAAGCAGGCCCCACGCCCGGTAGCGTGGTCCCCTGGTGCTGACTCCGAGTAGGGAAAAAAGGGAATGTCACTTTTGTCGCGGACAGACCGCCGGAGGACGAATCAACTCCTTTTATAACCTCATCCCACATCAGCAAGTCTAGGAAGCTAGTTTAGCCGCATCTCGATCAAATCTACTAATTTAGCGGCCCCGCTTGCGACCTTAGCGTACCTTGGCGTCAATCCCATAAATAGTGAAGACAAGAGCTCCCCTCCCCCCCCAAAATTTCTCCTCATCAATCCATAACCCAGAATGTCCCTCTCGAACAGCGACATCATCGGCATCGTAACCATCATTGTGTCGTGTCCTCCCTTGCTTTTGTTGATCTGGAAGATCATTGACCGGAGAAGTCGGAGCCGACCGGAGGAGCGAGACCAAGCTGGTAAGTATGGTTCATATGAGGAGGAGTACTTTACCTACCTTACCCATCTACCTACTTCAGCAATTTTTGCTACTACCATATACTAGGTAACCCTACTAATGCTATATTTTTCTTTATTCAAATACAGGTCCAATCTTCCAAATGTACCCCCCTTCCCAACAACCCGTCTTCGAGAACACATACCGAAGTTCCAACCCGCAAGCCTCTATCCTCATAAACACCTCTCCCGCCACTCAATACACCATGAGTATGTCACTGTCACTGTCACCGTCACCGTCACTGTCACTGTCACCACCATACAAGCCATACTTCCATTTCCATGGTCGCTTCCTTCCTCGAGTCGGACTAATCGCTCCCGGCTAGCCTCCCGTGTCGTCTTTGAAACTATCATGCAGCAGCAGGGGCAGCTCAATCCAACGGACTACCGATGACACACACACACACACACACAGACACTTTCCACAATCCACAATCCACCGTGATCAGACAGCTCGGGTAGCTAGGATAATTCGTCCGCATCATCTCCCGTCGAGGTCTTTTCTCTTTCCTCTCCGACAAAACCCGACATACCTACCTACCTCCCTCCCTTCTTACATACCAAAATGTTGTACATTAGCGATACCGACCACGGTCTCATGATTTTTATATAGAGCAAAAAAGCAAGCAAGCGTGCGATTTAGACTTAGAACATACATACCTGTTTTGATACTTTTACCAGCTAGGGGACGAGAATTATGGGGATTTGGGATAATTGGAGTTGGAGGAGGGGGGGAAGTCTATAATATAATATATAATCAATCATCAACCGCATTCGATATTCTGATCCAGATTCAGATCCACCCAATGAATGGGTTTACAGTTTGCAGTTTGCGTTTGCAGTTTGCGTCTTGCAGTTTGCAGTTTGCGTCTTGCGTTTGTACGACCCGGGGAGTGTTTCCACGTTCCCCATCGACGCCATCCGACGCCATCGCCATCAGTCTGTAACTAGCCTGTAGTTAATCTGCTCTCTGTTTCTCCACACTAAAGTGATTGGCGAGCGGGGCGGGCGGGTCGCGAACCGACCGATCGGTCGGTCGGTCGGTCGGTTCAAAGTGTTGGGGGGCCACTCGCAAGTCTGGCTGGACTCGTTCCAAATCCATACTATTTATTGTTTTCTTGTTCCTCCTCCTCCTCCTCTTCTTTGATTCTAATCTTCCGAACCGAACCAAACCAACTTTCTTATCGACAACTTCCGTACCCCGCACTCTGTACTCCGTATTCCGTAGCTCGAGTGCTATAAATGAATGAGGTATAGTTTGTTATCGATTTCTGTGTGTTGACGCTATATCATGATATATATATATATAGTATATATACTGATATGGATAAACTGCCGAATCTAACAAAAATATATAATCGATGATGATGCTAATTCTAATCCTACGCCAGATTGATATATCAATCGAGTATTCTACTCTCTTCTTGTACCGATCAGATCAGCGACAGTCCCGCCCGTGTGAAACCCTGGTGTTTCGTGTTTCGTGTTTCGAGTTGACGGCAATACTAAAGTATAACTGAAGTACTACCAACCAACCTAACCACCATCACCCCTCTACAGCTTCCCCCCTCGCCCTCGCCTTTAAAATCACCTCCGCCGCCTTCTCCCCAACCAGATACGTCGAAACGGCCGTAAACGTACCAGGGATCCTCGGAAAAACCGACGCATCGACAACCCTCACCCCGCTCACCCCCCTGACCCTAAACTGGCCATCCAGGACGGCCATCTCATCGCCCTCGCCCCCGATCGCACACGAGCAAGAAGCATGATGCCCCCACGCCGTATCCCTTATATACTTCCTGATCATCTCCCGTCCCGTTACCTCCCTCCCGGGCAACCTCTCGGTCGCCGGAACCTTCTGCTCCGCGAACGCCCTCCTCGCGACAGCGACGGCCTCTTCCAGCGCCTCCTCATCGCCTTCCCACCCGTCGCTTCCGGTGTCGAAATAATTGAATAGGATCTCGGGGACGTCAAGCGGGTCAGCGGATCTGAGTCGCACCACGCCGGCGCGATTGCGCGGATGCGCTTTGAGGACGGACCAGGTGAAGATGTTGTGTTGTTGGGTGACGTTGTGGCTGAAGCGGGGGAAGTAGCCCCGGAAATCGATGAGGCCGCCGAAGATGAACACGTCGTAGGCGTTGTCGGTCGCGGCGGCGCTTTTGTACAGCATGGCTGCGCCGAAGCCGGTCGTGGAGTAGATCCCGCGGTGGGAGATGGGGAGGGAGGCGGAGAGCCAGCGGTCGAGGCAGGGGTCGTGCAAGGGGGTGAAGGTGCAGGGGGCGAGGATCTTGAAGTCGGAGGGGAGAGAGGATTGGACGGCGATTTCGTATTGGTCTTGCAGGTTGTGCCCGACGCCGGGGAGGTGGGCTATGAGGGGGATATTGTGAGTGAGGAGGTCGGGGGCCGGGCCGATGCCGCTGAGGAGGAGGAGTTGGGGGGTGTTGAAGACGCCGGCGGAGAGGATGATTTCGTGGGTGGCTGTTGCGGTGCCGGGGGTGCCGGGGGTGTCGGGGGTTCCGGGAGAGAGGGGGCTGGCGCGGTAGAGGTGTTTGCCGTCGAGGAAGGCCACGCCCGTGGCGCGCGGGGGTGAGATGGACGAGTCGAAGAGGAGTTTGGTGGCGTGGCAGTTGGTGCGGAGGGTGAGCGGGAATTTCCGGGAGCCGTTGGGATGGACGGCGGAGGCGACGGCGACGAGCAGCTCGCGCGATCCCGTGCGGCGGCCGTCGGCGGTCGACAGCGGGATCTGGTAGTAGCCCGGGTCGGTGTCGCGCGCGACGCTGTCGGCGTTGGCGTCGCCCAGCACCAGCGAGGCCAGGTTTTGTGCGGTCTGGTTGCCAAAGGCGCGCGCTCCGCCGACGAGCAGGCTGAGGAACTGCGGGTCTTTGAGGACGAGGTTGATCGGCGCGGTTTGCGTCGAGAGCCAGCCAGTGTAGCCGTGGCCCGCGGCCCCGGGCCCCAGGTAGTGGTTGTCTTCCAGCCGGGTGAAGTATTGGCGCATGTGGTCAGGCGCCCACGAGGGGTCGTTGGTCAGGTTGGCGATGTATTCGAAGTCGGTCCGGTGCGGGTACATCGAGATCAGCGCGTGGTGGGCCGTGCATCCGCCCAGGGCGCCGGCGCGCGGGTACAGGATGCCTTTCATGGTGGAGCCCCGTGGGGGGTGCAGGCCTGTGTAGTCTTCGCCGGACGGGGTCGTGTACGTGGTTTTGAAGTCCAGGGCTTGTCGCGCCTCGTCGGCGTAGTGTCGCACGAAGAAGTTCCATACCATCGTGGGGTCTTCGGAGGCGCGTGCGGCGTATCCCGGCACGCTGTAGTTGGGGTTCAGGCCTGGGTCGTCGCCCGATTCGATCACCAGGGTTTTGTGCCCGGCCAGAGCGAGGCGTGCGGCTACGGGTCCGCCCCCGGCGCCGGAGCCCACCACGATGTATTCGTAGCCGGTGAGATCGACGGCGGTGACGAGGGTGCAGGTGGATAGGAGGAGGTGCAGGAGGAGGTGCATCGTGGGGGGTGTGGACGGGTCGGGTGATGGCGGGATGGTTGCATGGTGAGAGGCATGTCTGTCTGATCAGGTGGAGAGAGGGTTCGGAATCTTATAGGAATGGAATCGGGCTGCGAATGACATGTGGTTGTCCATGAAGCGATGTCCGGACATGTCATGAGGATGAGATAACCGCCTGTATGACCTTGCCAAGTCGACTGTGGCAGATTGACTGGCCGTCGAGGGATTGGGTCGGTCATTGGACTCGAATGTCGAGGCAGGAGAAGACCCGATTGCGTGGATGAGGGTGTACAAGATGTGGGACAGGTGATGGGCCAGTGTCCAATATACCCCAGGAGCAGTGATGACAGTGACCTGGCTGGAGACGAGGGTTGGATTTCAGCTGCAGATGTCCCTCTGGTCTGCACAGCCATAGGGTTACGTCTCTCCCGTGACAGAGCACCAGTGAGGCGTTCACCCTGCTTAGTATGGTGTGAAAGACTGGGTATCCATGAACTGGCTCTGGCTAGTTCATTCTGGGGCATGGCTCTTTCTGAGACCGCAGGCTTGCACACCTATGATTAAAAACGGATTAATTATGCTCCAGTCATCTGTGTATCCACGTCTTAAGTGTAGCACTGCTTTGACAGAAGTACTCACAGATAGTAAGTATCAACAAACTCGTTCCCTTAATACTGCCAAACACTGTAGCCTTATATAGAAGATGGAAAATAATAGTCAGTATTCTAAGAGCCATCGCAGTTACCGACATCACAGGAAGAACTAAAGATTGCAAGATCAGCACAGTATGAGGGCGTCTTCTTCAGGGTGGGTCATACCACGTGAGGACCGAAAACCTAATCCCGCCCAACAGTGCCTGAGGAACAGACGAAACAAGGCAACGATCATATATGCATTCCACTCCGCAGATGGTACTATTACAAATGTACAAAGAAATCCCAGCTCCTTCCTACTCAACCGAGAGGGCCTACCGCCACCCCAACGAAACAACAAGAAACAGAGTTACTGAAGAAATGCGGCACCGGGTATGTCTCTTGCCAACCATGTTATATTCAAAGATCCCAGCCTGCGCGTAATTCTATGATGACCCGAATTTTCACCCGAAAACAACCTGTAACGCAAATGGAGTATCGCTTCGTCTGCAATGCGCTGTATTATGCATTCATCATGACAACCCCCACGTCGGGGCTCAGTGCCGATTCGGCCGCCGCGGGCTCGTCCGTCTGGTTCGATTCCCTCAGAATCAGCTGGCTCTGTGACGTCTTCGCCAGCGTCTCCACCAGCGCGCTCGGTCGGCCAGCGACGGTGAACAGGACCTTGAGCAACACGCTCCGGCTCTCCCCGCCATCCGGCATCAACATGGTCGGGTGACGGGTGTGTCTGAGGATCCTGTCCAGCAATTCGCGGATGTGCGCGTCGGTCGATGCATCTTGGATGACGTCCAACCCGTGGATCACGCAGACCAAAAGCGGCGGGGCGAAGTAAAGCATTATATCGATCAGCGACAGCACCTCCTTCCATGACGTGAGCGTGCCGTTCAGCGGCTTGAATCGCTCCGGGCTCATATCGCAGCCGGGGTGGCTTTCGACGACCGGGGGCAGATATTCTATCAGCTGGCGGATCAGACTGTACGCAAGGGCGATGAGGTGTTGCTCGAACGTCCATTCCTTCCCTCGGTCGGTGGAGCGGTTGCAGAAGTGTGACACGACCGGCAGTCGAGCCTCGCGAGCCTGGTTGGCGTAGCACGTCGACACAAGAAGCACTGGACTGGGGTATGCCGTGCTGGGAGGGCCTCCGACGGCGAGCACCTGCGAGTGCGCGTCCGTCGCCCATTGCTTCAACGAGGTCATCACATTGTATTCCGCCTCCACCGGCACGTCGGCTTCAAGATCGGGCATTTGATCGCCACAATCAAAGAAATCTTCAAGATGCCGGGACGCAAGCTGTAGTTCCACGCGCGTGTACTTGTGCTTGTGCCCCTCACCAATCAGGTTAAACCTGTCTGTGCCTTGCAACGCGTTTACTGTTAGCTCCTCAAGCAGTTCGGACCATGCGAACCTGGCTTCCCTACCTGATTCCTGTGAAGCAATGGTAGTCAAACAGGCAATACCACTGTTCTGCTGGGGCACCGAGCGTAGCTGTTTGCTCGCGGCGTCGAGCAGCTTCGTCAGAAGCACATCTCTCTCCTCTACGAGCCTGTCGCGTTCTGCCACGTCGTGATGGATTTCCCAGAGCAACTGGCGTGTGAGGGCATTCTGCGCGGCGAATCGGCGGTCCATCCGTTGCTGGCCCACCTGGCTGAGTCGGGCCTGTTCGAAGAGATGCAAGTACCGATCGGCCGTCATCTCGCACAAGCTGTCACATTCGGCGCCGTCCAGATCCATGCCGTCGCCCAGGGCGCACATCATATATTTCGCGCTGCGTTGGATATTGCTAACGAGATTTTGGAAAACTCCATACGGGTCGTGCTTCGGACTCTTGAGCAGTCCACACCTGGCCTTCCTCACATACCAATCCATCCACTCCCCGAGGAAGAAAAATACGAGTGCGTAGAAACGCGCAATTGAGTTGATTGAGTCTCTTGAGAATTGTAGTTGATCCGGTGCGGACGAATAAACGGACTTGTTGATTTGGGCGAGCGCGTTGATCAAGCCTCCCATGAGCCTCGGATAGCCTGCGGATGCCTGGCACGGGGTTTAGCCATCACGGCGGGGACGGAGGGGCGCACACGCTTCGCTTACCTTGAGAAGAGACTGCAGGACGCCGTAGAAGATGGAGCGGTAGAGGTCGTTTTTCGGAAGGGCCTTCAAGAAGTCGGCATGGGCGCCCAGGGTGGATCGAAAGTAGTCGTAATGGTCCCTGGACTCCAGTTGTCCAGCGCTGGAAGGCCAGACCGGGTTGATGGTGGCGATAAGATTCAAGACATCTTCGGGCCCCTGCAGGCGTTCCGAGAAATGGACCTGGTCGGTCGGCAGCAGGTTTTCCTGGAAGCGTTTCCATGACTGGGCCAATTCATTGTATTCGATGTCGAGGGTCGCAATGACGGGATTGCTGCCGAATGGTCAGCGGAGGGAGCACGATGATCCGCGTGATCTGGCTGGCGATGGCGGAAGTCGCAAAGCACGGACGAGGGACGGAGACGGAGACGGTGTAGATCATCCGAGGGGGGGGAAGTCAAACGGACAAGGCACCGCGGACAAAACTCAAAGTCAGGGGGGCGGGAAGTCTGAAAGGGAAGACTTACGGGGACAGATGCCTCTTGTCGAAGCGTTTTTTCCAGAGACTGACGGTATCCGCCACCGACAGGCCAACGGGGCTAGCGAGGGATTGAGGGGGCATGGTGCGGGCACGCGGGGGCTGCTCTAACGGACGGCAAGGCAGGACGAGCGCGGTCTCGTCGACTGGAGCGATGGGCTCATGTCAGGGGCGGAAGGTTAGGGGGAGGACGGAGGAAGGTTAACACAGAGACGGGTCGACCATTCAGCGCGAGGGGGAGATGGGATTGGAAGTGGAATGGAGGAGTGGAAGTGGAGATGGGGGTGGAGGTTGAAGGTGAGATCGGGATTGGGATTGGGATTCAGATTGAGATTGGAATTGAAATTGAGATCTATAGTGGTGATAGCGGTGGTAGGAGCAGGAGCGAGTAGCAGCAGTGGCAGTGGCAGTGGCAGTGGACCAGCTGGGGCGGTGGGTTGCTGGTTCTTTGTCGCCAGTTCCAGGCCTCGGGCTCCTGGACAGGATTCAAGGACAGTTGGGGAATGTTTGTCGACTAGACCCTCGTGGAGCGCATTTTGGTCGCTTTTGAACTGGCGGGTGGTCCCGCACGGGAAAATGGGAGTGGATGGTCTGGGGTTGGAAAAGAAGGGGAAGGGAAGGGAGGAGAAGGAAGGGTGGAGGTGAAGGTGGAGGTGGTGGAGGTGGAGATGGAGAGAGAGAGAGAGAGAGAGAGAGAGCGAGAGCGAGGCGGCGAGGAAGGAGAAGGAGCGAGAGAGGAAGTTGGAAGTGGAAGTGGAAGTGAGCGAGAGAGCGAGAGAGCGAGAAAACATCCCCAGAGGGAAGGGAAAAAGTACTACTGCTGCTGCTGCTGCTGCTATTACTACGAGAAGGAGAGAGAGTGTGCCGAACAACCAGCCCGTGAGTGCAGAAGGGGTCTTTGTTTTTATTCGCCCTGGAGGCCGTGTGTTTTTTTATTTTTATTTTTTCGAAAGTGTTTTTTCCTCTTTAATAGATATATTTCCCCTTTCCCATTAGGGGAGGACAATGGGGAATTAATTATTTACTGGGGGACTCTGCATTGTGAACTCAGCAGCCAGGTCCAGAGGGACTGGAATTACCCATCATTTTAAGCTTCTCTGGGGGTCGTCAGAGAGCGACAGAGAGGCGACACAGAAGGGAGGGAGTATCCAACCATTCCGGATCCTACTGCCTGTTGCGACCTTCTGATCCGTCGTAAATAAAATACACGATGGGAGGAGGGTACAGTAACTTCAGTCATGCTTCCCCCTATCCCACAGGCAGGCGCTCTGGTGGATAATAAGGTAAGTATGATACGGGGATGTACTGTATCTGACCGGGTTCCCCAATCCATCCATCCCTCCATCCCTCAGCTCCTCTTCCTTTCTCCTCCTCCCTCCCCCCCCCCCCTCCACTCTCCTCGCTCCACTCCCCTCCCATCCATCCCATCCACCCAGTCATCCAACCCACCCATCCATTTCAAACTCTTCAGTCATCCCGTTCGATGGGAGCCTCGGCCTCTGGGGGGATGACCAGGCGGACCCCCCCCTCAGCAGGGAAGCTGGCACGCCTCCCTGGCCCGCACCCACCAATGGCCGCCCACGCCGCCCGGGGGCCCGCGGTCGAGGCCCTCGAATGGAAGCGGGGATGCGTCGCGGGAGAACTCTTCCAGCCCTTCGCCGCCTATCAGCGGCCCGGCTAATTTTGGTCCGGCCTGCGATGGCGTTCCCTTGCCTGTCGCCCTTTTTCGGGGCGTACGGATAACGTATCCAGTTAGCGTCAGTACCTAGTAGTAAAAAAAAAAGTACTCCGTAGGTAGGGTAGGATTAAGTCTCCCGCCCGCGAATGTTAATAATAACTAATTCAATCCAATTCATATATCCATATTAAATCCGACCGAATACCTCGCGCGGTTAGGTTGCGGTTGCGGATATTTAGGCCATGCGCCTGGAGACAAGGTTGCGCTGATTAGATAGATACAGCTTCACAACAAACATGCTACTACTTCTGCACTGTCACTGCTACTGCTACTGTCTCCCCCACTGACGGGACACACGATTCCAGACAAGCCGGACTGACACTACTTTCTCTAACTACTATTAGGTCCTATTATTTAACATCCATACCCCAAACTCGAACAACTAATTAACGGCGCCTGGGACTTTTCTCTTTCTTTCGTCCTGCTTTTTCTCTCCTATTTCCCACATCGGTCTCATCCATCAACACATACACACACACACGCGCGCGCGAACACACAGACATGAATGATCAACAAATCGGCAATCTGGCATTCGCAATCGCTCCATCTGACAGTCACCACTCACCTAGCTGTGGCCACCATCCCATCCCAGCCGATCGGGCTCATTCCCTTCCCCTCCCTGCCTATCAATCAGACCACCCATCCCAACCTAAATCCCATGCGACACGCACATCCATCCCTTTCTGGATTTCTGTCCTCCGTACACTCCCTCCCTTCACTCCACTCTTATGGCCTTTCGTAGTACGGAGTACTACCACCTAAGTAAGGTAGATCTATTCGAGATACATGCAGATACATATATACATGGGCACGGCGTACTCAGGTACAAGTCGACCTATGAGGTATGTTCAGGGAGTAGTAGATGTAGAATCCAACACATAACTACTACTTACTGCCTTGGGTAACCAAAGGTGACTAGTTACCGGTAGGTGCCGGTAGATAACTAGCAGGTCGGTATATACAGCCACACAGCCACAGCCACAAACCCAAATCACCACCACCACCACCATCATCACAACAAAAGTAACAATCACCACCACCACCACCACCTACGTAAATAAAGATCTTCACGTCCACGGAAATCTTCCACGGAGATTGGTGGCTGCGCTTTCCGGTGATAATAGGTACCTACCAGGCAGACCCTATCTACCACTTGACCATCAACGGGGATGGAGAAGGATTTGCAGATAGACAGATACACAGACAGATAGACAGTCGCTCGGTGTTGGTGTTTCCTTCATCCCCTATCCTTTCCCTCATTCTGCATCTGTTCATCCCCCTATCCTATCCTATCCCTCATCCTACATCTGTATCTCCCTCCCCCTACCAACCCAATGGAAGTATGTAAACAGCCAAAAAGACAGTGAGATGGCTTGGTGGATCATTATGGATAACCTGGCACCCCCAAACCTAAACCTACCTAAACCACAGTGACATGCATATACATCCACATATACATCCACATCCACGCACGCATCCACGCACACGCACACGCACACGCACACGATCCTCCAAGCTACCTACCTCCCTCCCTTCCCCCCTTCCCAAGCCGCCAGCAGCCAGCAGCCAGGCTACCTACAACCACCCATCCAACCAACCTACCCACTGACTACCTACCTACCCACCAACCAACCCACTAACCAGCCAGACGGACAACAAAACAGTTACCCGACTTCTTTCTTCTTACCAGTACTCCGTAGACTATCTACGTAGATACTATCTAGATTTGGGGGGGGGGGGGGAGGGAAAAGGATGGCCAATGAATGGATGGATGAATGAATGGATGGATGAATGAATGGATGGATGAATGGATGGATGCATGGATGGAAGGAAGGAAGGAAGGACGACACACGGACCAAGTGTTGCTGTCACGGGCCCACGGACAGGTCGAGACCCCGAGGCTCCCGCCAATGGGGGCCGCTGCAGAACGCCTTCTGGGCCTTGGGCTGAAGCTCTTTACTGTTCTTGGGCAGTGGGTGGGTGAGTGAGTGGACAAGGTAAGAAAGGGCCTGACGGGCTGACGGGCTGACGGGCCTGCCTGATTGATGGCGGCTTTGATCGGTTGTAGCCGTGGTTGAATGGTTTTTTCTCGGGCTTTGTTCTGGGTGCTGGGTGCTGGGTGCTGGGTTCTGTTTGGATGGGGTGGCTGGAGGGTTTAGGGCTCGAGTGGTGGTGGTGGTGGTGGTGGTGGTGAGTGATGGAGATATCTATTTTATTTATCTATCTGCTTACTTAAGGATGTATGGTGGACTACCTACAGTAGGGATCTAGATGTATGTCTATCTAGCTATCTACTATCAGGATCGGGAGATCAATCAGAAAGAGACGCTCGAACGTCGTTAATGGTCCAAGTGATGCCCCTAATAATACCGTTGTGATATAGATGGCCCGGCCGGAGGAATAGGTCGTGGACAGACGGGTGAGTGGTCTGCGACCTACCTAGTAAATACTTACTGGCAATACATCGGCACACTGCCCACCCTCCTGACCATCGCCACTACTATCTACGGCCCAGGTACGATGACAACAGAACCCAACAGGTCCATTGTGGAGGAGCAACAGCAGCAGCAGCAGCAGCAGCAGCTGGAGGATCACTGGGTTGGTACAGCGATGGGGCACGACAGATCGGACCCTCAGCTAGCCATGACCGATTGGGAGCTGCCCCTGAGCATCGCGAACATGTCAGTTTCACTTTGCATGCAGGGTGTGTCCTCGGGATTTAACGGGTACCCAGTTGCCTACTTGCATGCTAATGCCAGTCAGTACTCCGTACTTACGGAGACTGACTACCTACCTACCTACCTACCGAAGAACTTCGCGGCCGCCCGGAGTACTTCGGTAGGGGTAGGGTTAGGGGCAGGGGCAGGGGTCTGGGTCTTAATTTACTCAGTTTCCCGAGAGCCTTCAGCAGCTCGCTCATGAATCACATTATGCTTTGTTGCCTCCGCATAGCTGGTCGGGGGCGCACCCGCGCATAATTAGCACCGACCTCGACACGCGACCCAGTAGGGTGCCATGCAAAAAGAAAAAAAAACGGACAGGTCATGTCACTGTCACTGTCGCTGTCTCTGTCTGTCTGCCTGCCTGCCTGCCCTGCTTGTCTGGCCGCCCGCCCGCCCTGCCAAACTATCATCCTCCTGGATCGAACGCGACTCCACCCACCGAGGCGAGGCCGCGATCTGACTGCCTGAGGGATCGCCCGGTGAGCCACATTGTCAATATTCCTCCAGGATGCCAAAGCTTAGTCTCCAGGGCGACATGGATGTCACAGGCGGCAGTGGGTAGAGGGTGGTACATGTCACACGGCGTTCGGGTGTAGCGAGGTCGCCAGAGCAGGGCGACCGGTGTCTAGACCATGGCGGGTGGAGGAGGCCAGCGTCGTCGCTGCATCAGTGCATCGACCGGCTCAGGATGACAGGATCGGAAAAGGTTGGTTAGTGTTGGGGGGGTCTTGGGGGAGATTCATTCAACGATCCACGTCCGATCGGCCTAACCATAGCTTATTCCGGCCGCGCAAGTGACTCGGCCGGGCCCTAAGCTCGTAGCCCTAGGGACCCGTCCCAAACGGGCTAATGCCAGCATGGATAAAGTTGTGCGGCGTTATGCTGACTCGGCGGCTGTCACGAATCAGTGACACCGACCGACGGACGGTCCCCCATCTTCGCGCCTCACCTTTCCGACGCCAGAGTTCCAGACACCGGCGGGTGCAGATGATAAGCCGGGCGTCCGATGCCGGAGTCCGTAGGGGCAATCTACTTTACTGCGTCCACTGTACGGTCGGAGTCGTCCCCACCCGGGGATTGCAACGACTGGATGAGGACTCGTCGAGGCTCTGGAGGGAGATGCAGAGGCAGAGGCAGAGGCAGAGGCAGAGGCAGAGGCAGAGGCAGAACGGTCGACGATTTATTATCTCGTAGATTTTCTATTTTTCTTCCCCCGTATTATTACCTTCTCCTTTGTCAGTAGTGGTGGTGTGGTGTATTCGACCACCACGACTGGATGAAGGGAGACCACGTTGGAGTGACAAGGGAAAAGCAATCAATTCCTGTCCGGCCGCGCGGTCCATGCGCCCGCCAGAAAGGGTGGCCTGCACTCCCACTCCCACTCCCGCGGGCCAAACAGCTTTATACTGGTGGTGGTGGTGCACGGCGACAAGGTTCAATGGATGATGCAAGGCCATGTCTGATGCCATTGGCATGTCTGCTGTCCGTCGACCACTCGGTAAATCGGGGTAATCGGGGTGATCGGGGTAGTTTGTCTGCACATCCATGGAAAGTCAAATCTGTTCAGTCGGTCATTGATTCATGATTCATCCATTGATGCATTGATGCATTGATCCCGACTGCAAATTGGGACCAGCCAAGGATCGGCGGTTGCCCAGGACTCCGTATCCAATATCCATCCAATGTCCATCGCATCCCCCCGCACCCTACTGACTGATGGGAGAGGGAGGGTTGGAAGTAATCCGTTCATGTTATTATCAGTCTCCGTCTCAGTCTGCGTCTCAGACTCGGTCTACTCGGTCTACTCCGTCTCAGCATGATGACCGGCTTATCAGAGCGATCCTTGCGTGCCAGCCCGGCCCACCTCCTCCGCCTGCTGCCTCAAGTATCTGCAGGCAATCAGAGGCGCTGAATAATCCAGCGCCCACCGGCATCGCCCCGGCGATCCATGGATCTCCCAGAATCCCACCGGCTCGACAACAACTCTGCCTTCCCCAATCCACCGGCTGCCAACTCGTATTCGCTTGCCCACTGCCCCCAGGAGAGTCTCAGTGGTATCAGCAGAACCACCACCACCACCACCGCAGAAGTAACGTTTGGCTTTGGCTTCATCAGCAGCAGCATCAGCAGGATATATTAATAGTAGCGAAACGAGGACATCATCATCACTCCGTTGTTGTCTGTCTGTCTGTCTGTCTGTCTGCCGGATCCCTCGGCTGTCCTGCTCACCAGCCATCCGCCAACCTCCTCCACCGGTGGGTTGGTCCCCTACTATCTATTCCCATTGCAGCCAGTTCAGCCCGTCTATCGCGGTGGAGATCGATCCCCTCCAGCTTCCAGTCCATTCGAATTCTTCGTCACCATCATCATTCAAGAAATCGTCCCGGTCGCATCCATCCATCCTGCTGTAGCCGCCGGACATCGCCCGACCTGCAACGGAGTGATATCATCCCGGGGCTCACTGGGTCGCTGAGGGAGAAAGAAAGGATCGTCGCCCATCCCCCCCCCCCCCATACTCTCTTCTTCTTCTGATATTCCCCTCCCCGTAAGCCTCGTCGTCACTGTGGGGAAGTCCGTCCGCCGTCCGCCGTCCAGCTTCATCAACTGGGCGACGCGCCGATGGGTCCTCCCCGTTTCCAACTTTCTTCTTCTCCCTTCTTTGCTCCCTTCCTTGCGTCCGCCCCTCTCCTCTCGCTCGCTCTCCTCGCCCTCCTCCTCCTCCTCCTACCCCTCGCCTCTGCAGTCGACACGGCGGGCTGGACCGTGCGGCCATCCAACAACTCGGCGGATCTGTCCTGGACCGCGGGCCTCCGCTTCCATCTGAACAGCTCCCAGGTGCTGTTGCCCGCCTCCAGCAGCCTCGCCCCGTTGACCCCGGACCTGGTCGATCTCGATCAGACTGAGCTTGCCGTGAGTCCGCCGCCCCGTCCCTGCCTCACTCTCGCCCAACTGACCATCCTCTCTAGCGATACCGCGTGCGTGGGAGCTTGGTTGACGTCGACGCCACCAACTCGGTCTCGCTGAGCAGCCAGGACATCGCCGTTATCAGCTGCGATCCCGCCGCCTACTCCGGGAATTTAGATGCCAGTGCCACCCTGAGCAACGTCCTGACCGCGCAGCAGCAAGCCATTGCCGTGGTCCTGTACAGCGCCACCTCCGTTTTCTGCAACTACACCTCCGACGACCCCTCCGCCAACCGCTACATCAACGTCTTCTCCCTGGTCAACCCGACCCTCACCGGCAGTGTCCAGTCGCAGCTCAGCGCGCCCGGCAACGGATCCACCGTCATCGCGGCCAACACCAACATGTCCTCCATCGGCAGCACCCCGCTGTCCACAAGCAACGAGTCGAACGGCAGCCCGAACACAGGTAGGCCTCTCACCAACGGACCCGGATCTCGCGCGGAAAGCTGACTGACCAGGCACAGCGATGATCATCCTGTACAGCATCACCGGCATCATCACGGCGCTGTTCCTCGCCATCATCGTCACGGGTGCCGTGCGCGCCCACCGGCACCCGGAGCGTTACGGACCACGGTACACCGCCGGACGACCGCGCCAAAGTCGAGCGCGAGGCATCGCCCGGGCCATGCTCGACACCATCCCGATCGTCAAGTTCGGGGACGCCACCCACGAGGGCAAGCCCGAGCCCAAGGGCGATGTCGAGATGGGCGAGGCGTCGGAGGAGCAGCCGGCCCACGAGATCCGGGAGGGCGAGACCGCAGCCACCACCACCACCACCATCGCTCCCTCGACAGAGCAGCAACACCACCCTGATCACTCTGAGACGTCCAACCCGACCGAGTCGAATGACGCCGACAATGAACCCCCCACCGACCACCCGAACTTCGCCTGTCCGATCTGCACGGACGACTTCATCAAGGGCCAGGACATGCGCGTGCTTCCGTGCAACCACCAGTTCCACCCGGAGTGTATCGATCCCTGGCTAGTGAACGTGTCGGGCACGTGTCCTCTCTGGTATGTCACCACCCACCTATCCATCCATCCAATCACAAACATCCGTGCTAACCAAACCAGTCGAATCGACCTCAACCCCCTCCCCCAAGAAGGCGACGAGCACGACCTGGCAGACGGCCACCACGGACCGACCGCGGAGGGCGCCCCCGAACCCGCGGCCGAGGGCAGCCACCACCGCCACCGCCGCTTCAGCAGCTACCTGCAAAGCACGCTGAACGAGCGGCGCATGCGCGACGCCAGCGTCGAGGAGCGACTGCTCGCGCTGCGCATCGTCCGGCAACAGGCGACCGCCGACCCCAACCCCGACAACACCGGCGACTCGCCCGACGAGCGCCTCCGTCGGCGGAGTCGGTTGACGGCGCGTTTGCGCGAGCGGTTCCGCGTGCGCACGCGATCCCACGGCGCGCCTGCCGAGACAGACACAGCAGCAGCAGCCGAAGAAGAAACGCCGCCTGCATGATCAACCTCCCCCCCCAACAACACTTTTTCCTTTTCACTGCCACTACCCCTACTATTACTCCGGTTCTCTCTTATCCTTTTCAACTCCATGCATATGCATCGGCGCCGTTCATGATTCCTGTGTTATATTGAGTGAGAGTGAGTGAGTGAGTGAGTCGGCTGAGTACATACATATGATGCTTCATGATTCCGATGCATGCATGCGTGCGTGCTTGCTACTTCTACGACATGAGACACATGACATACTATCTACCTACATACATACATACATACTACAGTTGGCCTGGCCGCCGGCGTTTGAGTTTCCCGTTTTCTTCCTGTTGATTTTGTTTATGTGATGTGATGTGGGATATGATTAACGTGATGTTTGATGATGGATGTTTATATACTTTTTTTTTATTTGCTGGAGAGTCCTGGCGTTGTGGATGGGTGGAAAATCGGTTGTATATATTTATTCATTTATTTATATGGCTTTTTTTTATGAGTATCATACTGTCATGTCGTATCATAAATTGATGGGATTTTTTGAAGTGCTGGGTTGGATGTAGTGATGTAGTGGTGAGTGTATGTAGTGTATGTAGTGTATGTAGTGTATGTAGTGTATGTAGTGTATGTAGTGTATGTAGTGTAGTAGATGGATTGGATTGGATTAGATTGGGCTGTACTTTGGGGATGAATGGGTGGGCGTTCTCTCAAGAATGAGATTTATCCTTGGAGTAATTCAAGTCAGTAGTAAATCCGGGTACTCTCTCTCCTCACTAACCCCTTCCCCTTCCCTCCTCCTCTCCTCACTGTCCGCCTACCCCTACCCCTAGGGACTCTCCATCCATCCCTCCCCCCCAAACCAATCCAAGACCACTATCCTCCGTACACCCCGTACACTCCGTACCGACAAAGCCATTCATCATGCTCCGCCCCACCCGTCCCAAGACTCAAACGACTCAAAACTCCGACCCAACCCCAACCCCAACCACCGACAGAAGCAATCTCACATCTCATTCCGGAGTAATATTCCGGCCTTATACTCAGCCTATTGAGTAAATCCATTCATTAATCAGGGATAGATAGATAGATAGATAGATAGATAGATACATACATACATACATAAATTGACAGCTAGCTGATCGCCAAACCGACCCGAAAACCGACGAGCCTCGCACGTTCGGCACCCCCAAAGCCTGAACCGAACTCTGAACCTCTGAACTCTGGAACGGGACCCCCGTGGGGTAACTAGATGATACTCCTTTCTTTCCCGAGAACGGGGTAGTTAGTTATTCTTGGCCTTGTTACATCGTAGCACCAATGATCATAATACTGTTGTTGCTTTAGTTATCAGAGGAGTAGATATTTGTCAAGTTGTTGTGTTTAAAGAGGGGGGGAGGGGGGGGGGGGGTTGAATGTGGGTGTGTTCATAATAAATTATTCAATTAAGATCTACAGACTAACTAGTTATAGTACGGCGTGAGTAAAGTAGGTACTAGATAGATACTATACTTCCATCCGTCCTCTGGGGAAAAGGAAAAGGAAAGGAGGAAGGAAAATCCCGCAGTATCTACTCCGTAGTACTCCGAGTACTCCGTAGTATCGGAGACGGGAGGGGCGCTGGACAGGATCTGGGCGAGGGCGAGGGCGAGGTCGGGGCGGCTGGCGTCGGCAATGACTCAGCGCGTAGCTTAGATAGCTTAGATTGGGCGGGATGTGATTGGCTGGGTGTTGGGGGTTGGGCTGGTGGATTGGAGTAACTATGTGGTTGTTATGGTCCGGGATTATTCAAGTGTGATGGGATGGGATTATCGTGATAAGATGGGTGGAGGGAGGAGAAGGATGTTAGTTATGTGTTTCAAGTCGGGGGATGGTCAGAATATCAATGCCCTCTGCAGCAGCAGTAAATCGCGCATTCTTGTCTCGTCTAGATGACGGGACTGTCATATGATCTGATATGATGTCAGGCCAGATCCGGCTGTTCTCCGCATTCAGGCTGGACGCACATCCTATTACTATTATTACTATCATTGTCATGAGGGGATGTAGATTGTATCCCCTCATTATCTATGACCATTTATTTACCTATGTATATAGACACCTTCATGTGAATCAATTGAATTCACAGATCACCTGCAAATAGGCAAATAGTCATGGCAAGCATGTGAATGTCGTCACCGGCCTGGTCATCGGGCCCAGCCAGCCAGCCAGCCCGCCCTTTTTACTTCCTCGGCCCAGAAGACAGACAAGAGAAGAGCAACAACGACAACGACAATAAATAGACAAAGACGCCTCCACGCCGAGAACGCAGCTGTACAACGTCCGTCTTCTCCGACACCAGTCAGTCCAGTCCAGTCCGAATATCCCCTCAGCCCATCCATCGGGATTTCTCTGTTTCGGTGGTGCTTCCCCCCCCTTCCCCCCCTCCGGTGAACGCAAGCAGTGGTGGTGGTGGTGTGACCAACCAGACCAGTCCAGTCCAGTGCCTAAATAAGTACAATCCATCATGTCGCCTCCGGGCCCGTCTCCGTCTCCGTCCCTGTCTCCATTCCCCTCCAAAACTAAACCATCATCCTCCCCCCCTTCTACTTCTTCTCCCTCATCATCCGCACAATCCCGTCTCGCTTCCCTCTCCGCACACATCATGGCTTCCGCCAGCCCCTCCGTCTTTTCCACGGCCGTCGTGGCCGCCGCCCCCGAGGATCCCCTCTTCGGCCTGGCGCAGGCCTATCGCCAGGATCCGTCCGACAAGAAGGTCGATCTGGTTATTGGTGCTTATCGCGATGATAATGCGAAGCCGTGGATCCTGCCTGTCGTGAAGAAGGTATTCCTCTTTCTCATCTTTCCTTGCAAGATAGATGGACTGTGATCTGCATGCACGCATGGAGAAAGAAAGAAAGAGTCGCAGCTAATTCGGATAAAATAATACCTAGGCGGATGAGCTCGTTCGCAACGACCCCAGTTTGAACCACGAATATCTTCCGATCAAGGGTCTACCGGATTATACCTCGGCGGCGCAGAAGTTGATGATCGGGGCTGATAGTCCTGCTATTCGGGAGAACCGCGTACGTTGTGTTGTGTTGTCTCTTTGATAATCCCTCCCCGCTTCCCCCATCCCCACCCCCACCTAATCATCCCCAATCCCCAAACCAACCCCCCCCTTCTCCCCAGAACCCCTCAACCCCAAACTAACCCCTCCCCAAAAAAAAACAGGTCTGCACGATCCAAACCATCTCCGGCACCGGTGCCGTGCACCTCGGCGCGCTCTTCCTCTCGAAATTCCACCCCAGCACCCCCAAACCCACCATCTACCTCTCAAACCCGACCTGGGCCAACCACCACCAAATCTTCACCAACGTCGGCCTCACCCTAGCCAACTACCCGTACTTCTCACGCGACACCAAAGGCCTCGACTTCACCGGGATGCTCAACGCGCTTTCCTCCGCGCCCGCGGGCTCGCTCATCCTGCTGCACGCGTGCGCCCACAACCCCACGGGCGTAGACCTCACGCAAGCCCAGTGGAAAGACGTCGCCGGGGTGATGCGGTCCAAGAACCACTTCCCGTTCTTCGACTGCGCGTACCAGGGTTTCGCGTCGGGGGATCTCGCGCGCGACGCGTGGGCGGTGCGCTACTTCATCGAGCAGGGGTTCGAGCTCTGCGTGGCGCAGTCGTTCGCGAAGAACTTCGGGCTGTACGGGCAGCGGACCGGTGCGTTCCATTTCGTGTCTGCGCCCGGGGTGGGCGGCGTGGAGGCGAATCGGAATGTGGCCAGTCAGTTGGCCATTCTGCAGCGGAGTGAGATTTCGAATCCGCCTGCTTATGGCGCTAGGATTGCGAGTCGCGTCTTGAATGATGAGGCCCTGTTTGGCGAGTGGGAGGGGGATCTTAGGACCATGAGTGGGCGGATTGCGGAGATGAGGAAGGGGTTGAGGGAACGCTTGGAGTTGAGGGGCACTCCGGGTCAGTGGACGCATATTACCGAGCAGATTGGTATGTTTAGTTTTACCGGGTTGTCGGAGACGCAGGTCGCGCTTTTGAGGGAGAAGTGGCATGTTTATATGGTGAGTTTTCTTTTTTTTTTTTTTTTTGGTTACCTTTTATCCTTTCATCTTTTTTGTGGGTTGGACGAGTGCATGTGTGCTAACTGCCACAGACCAAGAACGGACGTATCTCCATGGCCGGCCTCAACTCGCACAATCTGGATTACTTTGCTGAGGCGGTGGACAGCGTGGTTCGCGAGACGGCGTGATTGATAAGTCTGTCTGTACATGATGATGCTAGATTGTTTTTGTTTCTCACCCTTACCTAACTTACATACCTACATACAATGACTATACACTTCATCTGCATCATGGTAAATGTCACCAACATAGACGCCCCCCCCGCCCCCCCCCAGTGATAGACACCTCCACCCAGTAGCAAACAACCTATCATATACTTATCATATCGCGCATCTAAAAAACCAAATCCCACACCACCAGCCACGTACACAGTCCCACCGTGCCCCAGAACACCGCCTGCGCGGCACTCCTCCGCTCACTGGCCCGCTTGAGCTCCTTGTTCCCATCCCCGATGTTCTCGCTCGTATTGCCGGCGTCCGTCACCAGCTGGCCGATGTACTCCTCCTGGGTCGCGAGGTGCGAGACCAGGGTTTGCTGCAGGGAGGAGATCTCCAGGAGGGATTTTTCGGCGTTTCTGTCGATATTAGCATTCATTTTATCAACCCATCAAACGAATACGATTGAGTTGCAGTTCGTTGAGGTGGAGGTAGTATGGAGTCGGACATAAAGAGTGAGAAGAAACAAAGGAGAACAGATGCACAAGAGGGTTAAAAAAAAAAAAAAAAAAAAAAAAAAAAAAGGGAAAACATACTGCACCTTCCCCACGACATCCTCGAAATACTTGACCATGGAATCATTCTCCTCCGCGAACAGCTGCAACTGCTGCGGCGTAAGCTGCTTCTCAATGGCCTGGACCTCGTCCGCGTCGATCCGCGCCGCAGCCTGATACTTATTATAGTCCTCCTCAACTCCCATCCCACTGCCAAACTTCCCCATGCCCATGCCCATGCCCATGCCCATGTCTTGCCCCGCCCTCCCAACATTCGACCCCTTCCCCCCCTCCGAAAGATAAAGCACACTCCTCTCCCTCTCCCTCACCCTCTCGACTCTCCGCTCCACCATCTCCCTCTGAAAAACCACCACGGCCTCCAACCTCGCCCTCAGAAACCAAAGCACGCTTTCCCGCACACACTTCGTGGTATTCTCTTTCCGTCTCTCCGCTTGCTCTTCTTCCGACTTCCCTGCCTCCTCGCCGTGTCCCCCATCCCGTCCCCCATCGGATGTAGAAGAGGTAAGCGCATTCCCGCCCGCCCACAGCGCCAACAGCCCCACCCGGAACCGCTTGTTCAGGACCTGCGCCGCGGTCTCCTGCCGGAGCGTCTCGGCGGAGGAGAGCGTGTTGATGCTGCTGCTCAGGGAGGTGAGGAGGCTGGAGGTTGAGGTGGTGATTTGGTCTTTCGTGGTGTCTGGGAGGTCGGGGGTTTTGGCGCTGTTGGGGGTGGAGGTTAGGCTGGGGAGGGGGAAGGCGGGGTGGAGGGATGTGGTGGAGGGCGAGGGGGAGGTGGGTGAGGCGCTGCTGTTGTTGTTGTTGTTGTTACTGCTGTTGGCGGTGGTGGTGCGGGAGGGTTTGGTGAGCGAGAGGTAGGCGGGGCGGATGGTTTGGAGGTATTGCAGGAGGGATGTTATGTGGGTGTTCTGTTTGAGAAGCGTGGGATGTTAGTTTGGCTGTGGGTGGCTATGGATTGGGAGAGTATAGGTAGGTATGAATGAGAGAGTTGGAGTCGGGGGAGTACAATTCGGTAGGCCTCTTTCAAGAATTCATCCGCAATCTCCGTCGTGATGTAGCCCTCCGACAGCTTCGGACCGGCCGACTTGCCCTGCAGCAGCTGGCCCAGGGTTGGGGTGAGGTCCGTCATGTTGGCTGGAGTGGTTGTGTTGTTGACGAGCTGGCAGATACGGAGTACGTAGTGACAACTAACTCCGTATCTCCGGTACGATGGTTATGCATCCCGTGATGCTTATGTAAGGTTCATTCATTTCATAACTCGTTTATCATAACCTAGTAACCTCCTCCCAACTCCAACTCCATCCAAACCGGGTATACCAAAAAACCAATGCTAGATCACTCCCCGCTCTTCCACCCAGATCTGCAAACGTTAGCATCGACAAGACAGATAATAAAGAGTGCGCTCACCTCCATCTTCCCCATCTCACTCCCCTCCCGTCGCGCCACCTCCCGCGACCCCCCCATCAGCAGGTCCAGATCCTCCTGGTCCACCATCGTGATCATATCCCCGTCGTCCTGCATCCGAATCTTCAGCAGCGTCCGGAACCCGAACTTCTCCCGGATCCGCCGCTCAAACTCCCCAAACTCCAGCGTCGGCTCCATCATGATGTACCGCGTGTCCTCATGCGAGTGCGCCTTCACTCGGAACTTGCGCACCTCCGGCCCCGGCCGCGAGGCCCCCCGCCGTGACCCCCGGTTCGGGGACGCCTGTGGCCGCGAGTCCACGATTTCGAACTCACCCTCCGCGCCTCCGTCGTCGCTGCCGTACTCCTCCTCCTCGTCGATGTACCGCTCCCGCTGACGCCGCCAGCCCCCCGCCGGCATCGACCGCGTACCCGAGTGCATCTCCTCCGGGCTCGCCGCCACCCCGGTGTCGCTCTGGCCCCGTCGATGCCCCGGAGGGCCCGGTCGCCCGGCCGTCGCCCGCGATTCCGACGCCGTGCGTGTCGTGCCGATCCGCGCCTTATCCGCGACGTCGGTGTTCAGCTCGAGCCGCGGGGGCCGCGTCGCCCGCAGGGACCCCGGTCGGCCGTTCATCGCGAGACTACCTGTGGAGCTGTTGGTACTCGCCTTGTCTGCGTCCGGCGGGGGAGTAGGAGGGAAGAGATTACGGTTCAGCGGCGGCTCCGAGTGCTGCCGACCCCGACTCTGCAGGTTCTTGTGCACCAGGTGCGACGTCGCAAACGGCAGATGCTCCGGATGCCGGTGGTCGAGCATCGACTGCATCCGCTGGATCTCGTTGTGGGGGCCCATGCTGCTGCGCTCCGAAGCCGCAATCAGCCGTGCCTTGCCCAGGTAGTCTTTGGACTTGAGGTTCTTGACCTTGGCCGCGTTGGGGCGGTAGACCACCCCGACGGGAATCGAAAACACCGTGTAGCCCTGACCCGTCAGCAGCGCCCTGGATGGCGGAGAGCGAACCTACCGTCGCCTGTTCGCGGATGGCATCGTTGATGACATCGTGGTCGGGCGTGACCTTTTCTTTCGATGCGTACTCGAGGTCCTGCATGCCCTGCCCCATCTGCTGGAGGTAGATGTAGCACAGCCCACGGTTGAACAGCACCTCGCAGGAGAACAGCCGGAACTTCAGGCCCAGCTGCTCGTAGTCGATGGAGGTGTTGCCCCGGAGATACAGCAGGGTGTCATTGAAATTCGCCAACGCCTCCTCAAAGTCCCCCAGGAGGAAGTTCGAGACCCCCTCCTGGAAATACGCGATGGCCAGGTACTGGTCCAGGCTCACAGCCCGCTGGTAACAGTCGACCTGCTGCCGTCAGTCCCGGCTCAGACCAGAGGGAGAGCAGGGGGCATACCGCTCGGTCATGTTCCCCCAACGTAGCGTATATGATGCCGCAGTTGAAGAGAATCTTCGACGTGTCGGCAATGCTACTGAAGACCTGGAGGGCTTCGTCGTACTCCTGGTTGTCGTAGTGCTCTAGGGCTTGCACCCAGGTTTCGATTTCCTGGCGGGTCAGCCCGGTTCGCTCCCGGGCTGGGGGGGGGGGGACCTACCTGTTTCAACGACATTCTATTGCCCACACACCCGGCAACGTCGTGCCGCAATCACCTCGATGCTAGTGCTCTGACGGCGACGGTCCCGAATGATATATGTACGCAACGACAGCGGCCAAGACGCGAAGGCTGGGTCCTGGCCACGCAGAGCAGGGATGGGCGGCCAATACGGAGGTGGATCCCGACCCGACCAACTCGTATGTGACGGGATTAGGTTGGCACTTGGCAGTCGGTATGTCCACTGAGGTGAGCGATGTCCCGCGATTGAGGATGGACCATGCGCAGCGGGGGCTCTAGTCCGCGAGACAGATCGGATATATAATTAGATCGGAGGCAGCGACCAGCCGCTCGACAGGACACCAGCCCAGATGTAAGGCAGAGGTGGGCTGGGAGAGTGGGAGCGGACGGAGGGGATCACCGTGGGGAAGCAATGTGTTTTCGGGGGGGGGGGGGGGGGGAGAGTGAGGAGTGGAGGAGGTATAGGACCAAGCTGGGCGGACAGCTGGCAGGGACAGAAGCGAGGGCGGGATCGCGATGGAAGAAGTCAAATAAATCCACATGAAAATGGAAAGGGAAATGGAAGGCAGAAGAAAGCAGGAGGGCCGGGATTAGCGTGCAGAGTGCAGAGTGCAGAGAGATGCAGCGACCAGGAACTACTCTGGACTAGATGGGAATGGGAAGCGCCGAAGGAGGGGGAGGCATAAAAATAACCATCGTCAGGTCCTGTTGGGTATAGTCTGGGAGGTTCGGGCTGGCAGTCGGTGTAGATGATAGAGAGAGGGAGGGAGGGGGGGGGGGGGGGGTGATGGAGAGTGCGCAGAGTGCACAGAGTGCAGTGGTGTGCATGGATCCTTCAAGAGACGAGAAAAGGAGGCGGCGGGGGATGTGAGTGGCTGTTGCTGTTGCTGTTGCTGCTGCTGTTGGCTGCGACTAATTGGCTGCTGCAGGGGGAAGCACTTCATCACAGTGCCTCCCATGCCGCTGATTGGCCGGGACCGGCGCTGTGACGCCGTACCTTGCCTGACCGTGTACTATCAGAGAGTATCAGAGAGGTACATGCCGGTGGGTAGGAAACCACTGCATAGGGTAAGTACTCCGGAGAGATTGGAGAGATTGGAGAGATTGGAAGCAAGGCCCGTTCCGACCCATGCGGGGCTGGATCAACTCATCACATACATCATCACCACTACGGTAAGTAAACAGCTTCTGTCATTCTCCCATTCTGTAGAACAATGAGTATTGGCAATTTACTCCATACCAGTATGGAGTACATGCTTCGTTTTCTGTACACACCAATCCATACTACTCCCCCCGACCCACCCATACAGACCCTATTATACTTATCTCCCCCCCTGGCCAGCATGTTATACTTAGCTCCCCCGCCACGGCGCTTGCGCTCGCCCTCCCGAACCCCTTCGGTACTCTTTTCCTGCGGGCCTCACCAATCTCCAATCCATTCCCTCCCCTCGCTGTCGCACCGTTGGACCCAGATGCCCATCCACCATGGCGTCCAGGATGTGGGCTATCTTTAGCCGCAACCGACTCCAGTCAGCGACTAGCTGCTCTGTCGTGCAGCCAGCCTGCATGTCCGACGGTCAGGTGAGTCCGGGGTCTTGCTTGATCATCGTGATGTCTCCTCGCCCTGATGCTATTTATGACCTGCCCGGAGTCGATCCTTCCACCCCAGCTGGTCCCGAAAAGAGCCCCTCGTCAGTCATGTTCTCGTATTTCCTATCGCCAGGGATCTCTATCGCGTGGGTATCCCCCTCCCCTCGGCACATTCTAACATTGCTATACATAGACACGGCCCGGCTCCTCCAACCACAGCCACCATCTACACCATCCCCTGGGCCACCTGCTCCTGCCGCTCCTGCCATACATTCTTGCCCGAGCAGGAGCACACCATCTTGTCATTGTCCCACACCCCCGCGCTGCGCGCAATCACTCCGACCAGAGTATCGGGGTCCTCCCGCTGGAACGGACCCTCCTTGTGCTTCGACACCACCATACTGCGCCCAATCATCTCCCACACCGCCACCGGCCGATCCAGAAACACATTGCCCTGGCCCTGCGCGTCCACCTCGACCGCCCCGAAAGTCCCGCGGGGCTCCTTCGTCGGCTCCGAGCCCAGCACATGGGCCTTCACGGCCTCCCAGATGCCCCCCGTCGACGCCGCTCCCTGCGAGATATCGCCTGCCTCGCGCACGGTGGCGTAGTACTTGCCGGGTGCGAGTCCGTTAATCGTCAGGTCGACCAGGGTCATGGTGGAGGACACCTGGACCATGCGCGCCAGTCCGCGGATCTTGTTGGACACGGCGCTCGAATGGGTTTCAAGGATGCACACGGCGGAGCCTGGTTTCCGTCAGCCTTGAGAGACCGGGTACGCAACGGCGAGCACACACGTACTGTTGGAGGTGCCGCTGCCCCGTAGAATGGCATCACGCCCCGTAGCCTGAATGGCGGAGACGATGGAACTGGGGGACGCGGTGCCCTCGATGAACACCAATTGCTCCTTCAGGTTGGCGTCGACCTTGTTGATGCCTGACCGGTCAGCTCATCCACGGCTCGGAGGGAGGGGCTTGCATACCCTCCAGCTTCTTCAACGAGGAGGAGACATCCTTGACGCAGCCGTCGCAGGTCATTGGGACCGCGAAGGTAGTCTAACCGGTTAGCAGAGATGCACCTAGTGGATCGCGCTCCGACCAAAAATAGCACGCGCACAAACCTGGAACGGTTCAATCATGTTGCCAGTGCCGATCGGGATCCCTTAGCTAGCTCGGACGAGACCCTGAAGGGGAAGAAGACGAGAATGGGAGAGGGAATGAAGCACTCGAGCTGGACGACCCCTCGATGGGCGATGCGGGACAGGCGGGGACGCTTTGAAATCAACCCGATCGGGCTTAGTCACCGTGCCCGGCCGATAACTAGCGTCATCCGCCAATCAACCGCCCGTCCGCCTCACCGCTTCGGGATCGTTGGCGTCCTCCGTCGTCCGCTGCCCATTCATCATTCCAGTCCATTGCCCGTCCCCGACTACTGGGCTAGACTCCCTCCACCCTGCATCCAGCATGGCCTCCAAATCCCGATGGGCCACCGACGACGACCCCGAGACGGAGGCCATCCTGGCCCAGCGCAAACGCGAGAAGGATGAGAAGCGACGCGCCAAAGCCGAGAAGCAACGCCAGCTCGACGAGCAGCAAGCTCAAGCTCAAGCTCAAGCTCAAGCTCAGCAGCAACCCGACCCCGACCACCCGCCCAAGAAACGTCGCCGACTCTCTAACGACCAGGACCAGGAGAAGGAGAAACCATCCCAGACTCCCCCTGCCACCTCCAAAAACAATGAGCCCACCATTCTCTCCTTCCCGACCCAAGAATGGGGACCCTGTCGCAACGTCGCGAACTTCGAGCGCCTCAACCACATCGAAGAGGGCTCGTACGGCTTCGTCAGCCGCGCCAAAGACATCACCACGGGCGAGATCGTCGCCCTCAAGAAGCTTAAGATGGACAATTCCCCCGACGGATTCCCCGTGACGGGTCTCCGCGAGATCCAAACCCTCCTCGAAGCCCGACACCAGAACGTCGTCGAGCTCCGCGAAGTCGTAATGGGCGACAAACTGGATGAGTACGTCCCTTTCCTCTCCCCCCTTCTATCCCAACCAACCCACTAACAACCCCCCCCAAACAGAGTCTACCTAGTAATGCCCTTCCTCGAACACGACCTCAAAACCCTTCTCGACGACATGTCCGAGCCATTCCTCCCCTCCGAAATCAAAACCATCCTCCTCCAAGTCCTCTCCGGCCTCGACTTCCTCCACGACCAATGGATCATGCACCGCGATCTGAAGACCTCCAACCTCCTCCTCAACAACCGCGGTGAGGTCAAGATCGCCGACTTCGGTATGGCCCGGTACTACGGCGACCCGCCCCCGAAGCTCACCCAGCTGGTCGTCACCCTGTGGTATCGCTCGCCCGAGCTGCTCCTCGGCGCCGAGAAATACGGCACCGAGATCGATATGTGGAGTATCGGGTGTATCTTTGGCGAGCTGTTGACCAAGGAACCTCTCTTGCAGGGAAAGAATGAGGTCGATCAGGTTTCGAAGGTACTATTCCTTTCCCTCCTGCTTCCTCTTTCTTTGCCAATTCCGATACCACCCACCCACCCTCTAAACCCAACCTCTAAACCCAACCTCAAAAACAAAAACAAATACTAGAATAGTAATACTAACACCCCCAACCAGATATTCACTCTAACCGGCCCACCCACCCCCCAAACCTGGCCCGAATTCCGCTCCCTCCCCAACGCCAAATCCCTGCGCCTCCCACCAACCCCCTCCACCGCCTCCTCAACATCATCCCCCCCACTCCTCCCACGAACAAAATTCCCCTTCCTCACAAACGCCGGCCTGCATCTGCTATCGTCGCTGCTAGCGCTGAACCCGACGTCCCGGCTCTCGACGAAGGCGTGTCTCGCGCATCGCTATTTCCGGGAAGATCCGAGGCCGAAGCCGAAGGAGATGTTTCCGACGTTCCCGTCGAAAGCGGGGATGGAGAAGCGGAGGAGGAGGGAGACGCCGGAGGCGCCGAAGAGAGGGCAGGAGGCTCCCAAGCTGGACTTTGCGAGCGTGTTTGGCGGGGAGCAGGGGGAACAGGGGGAACAGGGGGCAGGGTTTACTTTACGGCTGGGATAGTTGGTTTGTTGGTTTGTACTGTGTGCATAGAGAATCCTCGTGGTTCGGGCCTTGGAACGAGACCCCTCGCTATCCAAGTGCCCGGAGGTATGACTTGCTAAGATACAATTTATGGAGCCAAGACACGGTCGGTAAAGGAACGTCATCAGGTAAATACATGCAGCGAAGGAGTGGAAAGCGTCCCGGTCCGGATCCGCATAAGACTCATGAGAAGTAATGGCGTGGGGAGCCAGGATACGTCATCAGATACTCGTCCGTCGAATCGCTCGCGTCGCGCTCGACCCGGAAGGGCCGTGTCGTATGGACCGGAAGCGGTGTTCGGGGACCGATCATCTCGGGGATCTCCTGTGGTCGATGCGACGAGTTGCGGTCGAGCCCTGGCCCGCTATATAAGCATCCGTCTCCGCTGAAGCTGCGCTCCGCTTTGGCGGCGCCGTTGCCCCGGTCCGGGCGAAGGTCGTTCGATTTGTCGACTAAGAAATACTCATCTCTCAGAGCAAGCAGCAATGTCAGGTCGCCATGGGATGACGAACTTTCCAACACTGAGGCTGCGTCCGCGTTCTCTTCAGGACGGTCGCCCGCCCCGTCGGTGCCGAAGGTGGTATCTTCCCTTGGATCAGTGCGGTGAGCAGGGGAGGTGCAGTCAACATCTGTCTGTGCGTGCTCCGAGTCTGGCCCTTCACTAGCGTTGCCAGGTACGCTGCTATCTCCGCCACTCTGTGCTCCGTGGTTATCATGCAAGGGTGCCTCGTGGCTGTTGCAGTCGGTGGTAGACTGGCTTTCTGAATGCCCAGAATGTTCAGGAACAGATTCACTTGCTTTAGATTCCATGGCATCTTCTCCGCTTTGCCCTTCATCCAGCCCTAGCCGATCAAACAATGCCAAAGATTCCATGGCGAGTTCCGTGTCTGCAACTTGCGGACGTTCTGATGCGCAATCCCTGGGCATGGTAGGACAGCTGGTTACCTCGATCGTGGGCACCGGAAGAGTGCTTGATATGCGAGAGCTGCTGAAAGCCGAGCCAGTGGCGCTTTCGGGAGTGTCGTCGGTTGCAGGGGGCAACTGCGGGTTGCCACTGGCGGAAGAAACCAGCGCAAGACCCTCATTCTCGCTGCCTGTCGACAGAGAAACGTACGATCCGCTAGCACTGGGGACTTGCTGCGAGCTTCCATCCACTTGAGCTCCCCCTTCTGCACTGCCGTCGCCCGGAGGGGCACGGATCTCATTCAGCGCCATCTCATGGCTCCCTGCCTCCGTAGCGCCAGTATGAGACGATCGTGCCGACCTAACATTGGGTACCGCAGGGGCAAGGGCCTCCGGTCTGTGGCTAGGCCCAGCTGCCGATCCTGAGGGCACCCAGTCGTCCCAAGCAAAGGGGCACGGCAAGCTCTGCAAGTACCTGTCCAGGTTGTCATCCGTTTCGGGCGGGTACTTGCATCTGATGCGCTGAAGATCAGTCCCGAAGTCGACATCTTCTTCCGTGCTCGCCTCAGACACGGTCGACGAGTAGAGCGTCGCCTGCTGGTCTGAGAAGTCTTTGCCAGAATCGGTCGAGGACCAGCTTCTCGGGATGTCGTCGCTCTGACTGGGACGGGTGGTGATGGGACGCCGGCGCATGCCCGATGTAAAGGCCAGGAACCCCGAATGAGCCCTGCGGAGAGACCTCCTGGGCAGGTCCTGCATCCAGCGGATGGACGTTGAGGGGTTGGGGTGTTGAGGCGCGTAGTAGTCGTCCTTCACCCATGATGAAGCCGCAGAGGGGTTGTGTCGTGGGTCTCGCGGGTTGAAGATGGGGTAATGCACGCTTTCTTCGCAAGTCGGTGGAGGAGTTGAGGTCCTGTGATTCCGAATGAGTCCTCATGCGCTGATGAACGTGGGATTCACTCACCTGTTTCTTCGGCTCGCGGAGGGGCGGATGGAGAGAGAGAACGACCACGCCTGACGGCGCCGGTTGGCACCGCTGCTTTGGTCTGGCGCATCCATCCTAGCTGGGTTGGGCTGTGTCTGTGGTGGTTGTGGTCTCAGTGAATGGATGAGGACCAAGCAGATGGGGGTAGAAGGATACTCTGTCAGTTGATGATCTGATCTGGGGAAGAATCAGACAACTAAGTAAGCTTCCGGCAAAGGGATGGCAGCGGGCCGGAAGTATTGACAACTGAAGGTTGGACAAAGGCAGGCATGGAGTTGCAGGAGGGAGGGGAGTACTTTCCCGGCCTGTATAACCAGCATGGCAGCTGCCTTTCTAATCCCGGTTGTGTACTGGAAAGGAAAGTACTCTCCTGTTTGCTATGTTCCACAAACAGTTCGTCATATTGTCTCCACATCGCCATAGTGAAATGACCGGGTTTGGGGGATTGTAAGAACTACAGAATAGTCCAACGGTTAGGCAGATTTGAGTAGATGACTCCCACGTAGCCAGAAATATATCTCCTAAGCCGTGAACATCATTTTGGGATGGGAAACAGATGTTCCGACCCATTTGGTAGAATGTCAGTACTGAACATCTCAAGGTCAAGAAGGCCAAAAGCCGAGGAGTGGAGTGGTTGAGGATGAGTGAATGAATGCTTGGAGTTGGCAGGCGGAACCGCCCCGGAGCTTGAAATCCTTCCGCTCTCGGCTCTTCTGCTGAGCTGCCGTCAGCTCTCCCTCCATCCGAAAGAAAGACTCAACAGACTCGCAAGTTCGCACCCCCTCCTGCGTCTTGCCTTTCCACCTTCAATTCACTTTCCACCCCCCCCCCCCTCCACTCAACCACTTACCTACCACGGGTAACCATCTATTTCGTCTCACATTCACCCTCCCCGGAAACGCCATCGCCATGGCCGCAGGCCAGGAAGCCGTCTCCTTCGATGCGATCATCCAAGCCGGTATGACTCCCTGCCGCAAGCCACTCCACACTCCAGCAGTGCTAACCCAACGCCCGGCTGCTAGATCGCAAGAGAAGAAAGAATGAAGAACTCGCAAATCAGCTCCTAAGCAAACGCAGAACAGGAAACACCGCCACCAAGGCTGCCGGGAGGCCCCAGAACGTGAAGCCCGGCAGTCTGGCGAGTCGGATCGGTGTAGTCAAGGTACCAACAACCCGACAAGATGCCAAAGTGGTCGCATCGCCACTAACAACCTATTCTTCCCCCAATCTAGCGCTCCGCGTCCGCTACTTCCTCCCCCAAAGCGAACACCCCCAACCCGCCACCCGCGCGCCAGGGTTTCCGCCCAGGTCCCTCGAACAGACGCCGTCCCGATGAGAGCCGTCTTCTTTCGGCCCTCAACCCCGAGAACGGACAGGCTAATGTGCGGAACGGGACGGGACTGTCCATCAAGGGCGCGGGCTCCGGGCCTTTCGTCGTCGTCGCAAGCAACTTTGCCCCGGGAACCACCGCCGCCGATATTCAGTCCACGATCGAGCCCGCCTCGGGCGAGATATTACGCTGCTGGGTGACCTCGCAGCGCCCGGCTGTCACAGCGGAGATTACGTTCGCCGAGAAGCAGGCCGCGGAGAGCGCCGTCGCCAACTTCCACAACCAGAAGGTGAGTCGTTCGGGTCTGCGTTGATGGGAGGAAACTGACCGACAAAAGGCCGACGGCAGATTTATATCGCTACGCCTGATGCAAAACAGATCCAACGCCGACCGGGACCTGTTCGGCCGCTCGACCAATGCCACCCGCAACGCCCAGTCGTCCTTCGATGACCTCCGGGAGCAAGCAGATCGCGATCGCCGCCAGCACCGCCCATCCGACCCTTCTCTGCAGGACGGAAGATGGGGATTCAATGACCAGAACCAGCCTTTCGACCAAACGCGATCCAGAGGGAACTTTCGCCGGCAGAACTACAGAGGCGGGCGCGGCGGGGCGCGCGGAGGGGGGAACATGGTCCAGGACGCGCAGGAAACGGGCCTCTACAGCGATGAGATGATGGTAGATGTGCCGCAGCAGAACACGCAGAACCGCGGCAGACGGTACTGACCGGTCGTTGGCTTTGGCTTTTCCCTCAAAGGCTGGATATCCGTCCGTCCTGCAGGCGCACTGACCGCAATGGGGACACATCTACTCTAGTACGAATGACTGCTTGGAATCTCGGGACGCATCTATTTTGTTGATAGAATGGGAAATCTGTACAATATCGCTCAATCAACCAATCAAACAACCCTTCAGTAGAAAGACCTCCAGAGACTAATGCGATAATGAATCGCCGATACGACACGATAAGACCGCAATCACGATCACGTGCGCGGAAGTTTTGCGGAGAAGTTGGAGAAACGTCGTATTGTATTGTTCCTCAGACCTCAGACCACTCCCATTGCAGCCCATCAGCAGAGGCACTCATGCCAGCCTAATCAACCCCATTGACAACCCTCCTGCCGCAAGGCGCGCAGCCCACCCACCACAATGAATCCCGCAACCCGGCGCGCCGTGAGACATCTGCCTCTGTCTCTCTTCCGAAGACAGACTCCCCTCAGATCACGATGGTCCTCCACCTCCACCTCCACCTTCGAAACAAGAAACTGGTCCACCCCACTCGCCCAAACCCTCGCCAACGCAATCAAAGTACCCCTCCTTCCCTCCCTCCCCATCCCAAACCCCTCTATAACCCCCACTCCCACTCCCACTCCCACTAACACACCCGCAAGGTAACAGGCCCCATCCCCATCGCGGCCTTCATGCGCCAAGTCCTCACCAACCCCGAAGGAGGCTACTACACGACACGCCCGTCCGGGACCGGCGAAGTCTTCGGCAAGAAAGGCGACTTCGTGACCTCGCCCGAGATCTCGCAGGTGTTCGGGGAGTTGGTGGGCATTTGGACGATCGCGGAGTGGATGGCGCAGGGGCGGAAGCGTAGCGGGGTGCAGTTGATTGAGGTGGGGCCTGGGAAGGGGACGTTGATGGATGATATGTTGAGGGTGAGTTGTTTCTGTATTTCTTGGGGGGGGGGGGTTGGACTGGGCTGACACAGACCAGACGTTCCGGAATTTCAAATCGTTTACGACGAGTCTGGAGGCGATATATCTGGTGGAGGCGAGTGGGACGTTGAGGGAGGTGCAGAAGAAGTTGCTTTGTGGGGAGGGGGCTGCCATGGAGGAGACGGAGATTGGATGGAGGTGTACGAGCAAGTATTTCGATGTGCCGGTTGTTTGGGTCGAGGATATTAGGCTCTTGCCCCATGGTACGTACGATATGATTTGGGTCTGATATGGATACGATGCTTGGGTGTGAATAAAACTAAAACGGAGGAGGAGGAGGAGGAGGAGCGGAACAGAGAGCATGTGATATGTGAAAGCTAACATCTCCACAGAAGAAGACAAAACACCATTCATATTCGCGCACGAATTCTTCGACGCCCTCCCCATCCACGCCTTCGAATCCATCCCCCCGTCCCCCGAGAACCAGCCCCAACCAGCCCAGCAGGAAATCATGACGCCCACGGGCCCCGCGAAACTGCACCAGCCGCTCAAGCCCGCCAACACCCCGCAATGGCGCGAACTCATGGTCACGCTGAACCCCCAAGCCGTCGAAGAGAACATCGACGGCGAGGCCGAGTTCAAACTCACTCTCGCCAAGGCATCCACTCCGTCCTCGCTGGTCATCCCGGAGATATCGGCGCGCTACCGCGCGCTGAAGTCGCAGGCCGGGTCGACGATCGAAATCAGCCCCGAGAGTCGGATCTACGCTGCTGACTTTGCGCGGCGCATTGGTGGCGCGTCGCAGCCTCCGCGGACAGTCGCAGCGAAGCAGGGTGGTGGTGGTGGTGCTGCGCCCGCGAAGAGCGTGTCCTCCGGCGCAGCCCTGATTATGGATTACGGCACCTTGGACACGATCCCGATCAACTCGCTGCGCGGGATCAGGGAGCATAGGAATGTGCCGGCGCTGTCGGCGCCGGGACAGGTGGATGTGAGTGCGGACGTGGATTTCACGGCGTTGGCGGAGGCAGCGCTGGAGGGGAGTGAGGGCGTGGAGGTGCACGGGCCGGTAGAGCAGGGCGATTTCCTGCAGGCCCTGGGAATCACGGAGCGCATGGAGCAGCTGCTGAAGAGGGTCGGAGATGAGGAGAAGCGGAGGACACTGGAGACCGGGTGGAAGAGGCTCGTGGAGAAGGGCGGCGGTGGCATGGGCAGGATCTATAAGGTGATGACTATCATTCCGGAAAATGATGGGAAGCGGAGACCAGTTGGGTTCGGAGGGGGCATTGTGGCGCCTTAGATGGCGGTGATGCCGCCGCCGCCGCTGCTGCTGCTGCTGTATACTATTGTTCCTGTGGTATAGACACCGTGTATGTGTATAATATTCTAGAAAGGATAACACCTGAGCCCCGAGTCTAATAATGCGCCGGCCATGCAAGTCTACACCCCCCCTTTCCCCTCTCCTCCCCTCTCTTTCCAGGAAACCTCAACAACCTCCCCACCCCACCCCACCCCCATCCAACCCCCAAACCAAAAGCGGAAAAAAAAAAAAAAAGGGTATAACCATCATCCCCCATCATCCCCCATCCTCCTCAACCAACCAAACCCAATCAATACTCCCTCCAAATATCCTCCGCATAATCCCGCGTCAACCTCCCATCCTTCCCATACTTCTCCTGCCACTGCACGAACCCGCCCTCAAGCACATACACCTCCTGTTTCTCGGCGTCGACGCCGAGCACTCGCTCGCGCTCGCGCGCGTACCGCAGCGCCGCGGACGGCCCGCGCTGCTGGCTCAGCGCGCAGTGGAACACCACTTTCTCTTTGTCTTGCAGCGTGCGGATGAGTTCCGGGAGGCGGTAGTCGAGTGACGAGCTCGGGATCCAGGTTGAGGTTGTGATGTGGCCGCCGACGTGGTCTGCAGATAGATAAGAGGGGAGATGGGTGGTTAGTGGTGGGTATAATGTATAATGGATGGGTGGGTGGTGGGGGGGGGAGAGAAGGGGAAGGGAAGGTATAGGAGATAGGGGATGGGGGCGGACCTGAGTCGCGGACGTCGATGATGGCGAGGGTGCTGGGTGTTGTGGTGGTGGTGGAAGAGGAGAGGGTGGTGAGTAGGAGGGCTGAGAGGGCGTCGCGGCTGATGCGGGGGAGGGTTGCGACGGTTATGTTGGACATTTTGATAGCGGTGCTGGCTCGTGGGGGTAGGGTTGGGTTGGGTTGGGTTGGGTTGGTTATACAATATGAGGCCAGATGAAGGGTGGCGTGTATGTTCGATCTGTAGGATATAAAGATGAGATAGAGATATCCGTGGGAAGAATACAGCCCAGTACTGAGGCTTTAGGTCGTGGTCGTCCGGAGTAACTACAGAGAGAGCCCCGAGAGGCGGAGACGAAACGGCGAGACAACTAACTTATCCGGCCGCCACGTGACCGCAGATTTCCCGAATCCGCACCGCAACACCGCGAGATTTCACCTCCTCGCTGCCAATTCCACCGCGACGCGATCTCCTCCAGGGACAGGCCCAGTCAACCCCCCCCGTCAACCCAGGGGAATACTCTTCTCAATCGATTGCAGTCGATTTCCACCGGGCTCAACCCGCTCCCCACGATGGAAATGCGCGTCTTGGCCATGAGCCTCCGGGCCCGGCCATCCACCACCCTCCTCACGAGCACCCACCACATCCAACACAGCTTCGGACAGAGAATCAGAATCCCTCTCACCAGCACCAGGACTCTACTCCTCTGAGCCCCCTCAACGCTTCACCATCTCCCCGCGTCCCCAGAACCCCTC